TTCGGAGTGTTTGGTATAAAACATGTGATGATGCATTTTAGTAAATATCGGATACTGTTCTACGAAGATAACATGATGCCTCAACCAATTACACTTGGTGCTTCTTGCTCCTGTTTAACTCGCTAGGGCTGTATTCAGAGTCGACTGCTCTTGGGCGTGCCTCATGCAGCAGCGCCCTGACATCATATGACCTATCTTGAATCTGGACCGTAACTAGAATAGATTCCTTCAGAATATGTGATTTGGGTTATAGCCACCACAAAGTTGGCATTTAGTCACTTTCTAGGGTTCGTTAGAAAAACTAAGATCTATATTGTGGTTCGGGTCCGCTAAATGAATGTCGATTGGTTTTATTCCGTCATCTTTACAGCTATTTTTCTTAGCGGTCTGTAAGAGAAACGTAGAAAGGTGAAATCTCAATGTCCCGCAATATTATATAAAGTGCTTAACCTACGCTAAGAAAAGAGTCGAAGATCAGAGAATTTCGTTTTAGGCAAGTTTCTGGGATTTATCTTTACACATTCTCTGGGGATCAAGATATCGTGCAAAATGTCCTATATTAATCAAAATGAGCAAGATCATGATTCGGAGGTGCTGCCTCTATCTGTTAGACGGTACGACTATAAAGACAAAGATCAGTTTGCTCAAATACTTACCCTCGAACGTGAACGTCTGCTCGATTCAATGCGCCATTCTCGTAAAATTTCCGACATCGATACTGGATCTGGCAGGAGTGAACAAGAGCCAACTACTGAGATTACAGAATACATCATCTTCTCCATTGATCCCACTACGTTCCACCAGGATTTCCTCAGCTTGGATGCTATCCCAAATTTTTCAATCCGAACATCTTTCAACCCGAATACCAAAACACTCACTGTCAAAATGGTTACTGGCGAGCATACCCAACTTGCCTTCACGCTGCACAAAGCCGTCGATAAGGCCCTAGCACGAATGGGACTTGACGAAGCTTTATACCAATACCTAGGAGTTGATATCGATATAAATGGCCGCAAAAAACAGCCAGATATGGGCTGGGGGCCTAAGCAACCTCCTCGCGGCTATCCAAAGCGGCCCTCGGTTGTGTTGGAAGTTGCAGTATCCGAAACGCGAAAGAAACTTCGACAAGATGTTGACCTTTGGCTTGACCCAGTACGAGGAAATGCAAATGTGGTGATTGCAATCAAACTCAGTCGCTGGCGAGCTATGGTCACCATTGACTTATGGAAATGGGATACCGTTAACGGCAAATCTATCAATTCCCAACACATGGAGGTCTCTGAAAACGAATACGACGAAGTAAAACTTTCTGGAGGTCCCCTCGTCATCCCTTTTCGTCTCCTTTTCCTACGAGATCCTCAAACACCACAAGAAACCGACGTTATCATTGACAAGGAATGGCTACAGAAGGTTGCCGAGTGTGGGTGGGATATGCAATTTTCGAACAGCCGTTGAAGAGTTGGTGTGGCCTGGTCTCGACGTTCTTATCTTGAGTTCTTGTCTTACGTTTTAGTTGTTGCTTCTCTCTTACATGGGCCAGAAGCATGGAAGAATCATTCAGACTTCATATGACGAGGAGGAAAAATTGATTCTACAATATTCCCAACTGTGGTGCTTTGAGGACGAGGCTACGGCGCCGGTGGAACTATTCGTTCGATACAACATCGGCCAGCTTGTCGGGCTGGAGAGACCACAACTTGATGTTCCATCGCTTAGAGTCGGTTACATCAATGAATTTGACCTAGCTGTCTGGTGTGAATTGAACAAGATGTGGATTGAAAATAGCACCAAGATCCAGTTCTGTCGAGGCTCCATGTTACGGTATTTCTTTGTTGAGAACGACTACCGGCACACCGTGTGAAATATATATATTTGCACATTGATACTCTGTCCCCTGTTGAACCCCTATATTAGGCTAGATCAGGGCCGGCGCCGAGATCTTCCGCGGTAAGCATATAGACTCAGTAGGGCCCAACCAGGCCTATTGCGGAGGTCTAGGCTGGTTCTTACGGTTGGAAATCTCTATCTCATATAAGTGAATCTATCCTCCGGCATGCAGCTTATCAGATTATCATTAGATTATCCTTAGATTATTATCAGATTATCCTCAAATTATCATAGTATACCAGAATCAAGCAAAGCAATGGGATTAGCTATATAAGAATATTCTCCGAAGAGCGACATTCCCCCCCTCCCCAAAAAGAAAATACAATAGTACACAAGAAAAGCAAATATTCTGTCTTCAGCATGAGGCAGATTCTGTGGTGCTGGACCTTTTACTTTTCTGGGGAGAAAGCGATTTGCGGACTCGGCGACCAACCGACCTCAACCATTCACGCCCTCTACGTCCAACCTCCGGGCTAGCAAAAACGCGCTGCCGGTGGAAGGCCTCGGCATTTTGCAAGAACTCTTGGATGGCATTAGAGATATCACTGATCTCATGCTGGGGCTTATTGCTCTCCAGCAACGCTGCCACTAAATACTTGAAAGGGCGCATGAAAAGCGGGCCCTGATCGGGTAGGGGTGGGAATTGGAAACAGTGGTTTAATGGCAAGGCTACTGCCCGCCATCGTTGGTTGAACTCAGAGTCTGACATCGAGGTCTTCGCCCGTAGTTCAAGCATCCAGGAGTACCAATCCCACATGATGCACATCTCGTTTCTGGGCATCGGAAGCTCAAATATCGCAACAACAAAATCGGCGAGGAGTGCCATCTCCCACCTGAAACGAATCGTGGAGTAGATCTCAGCCTCGGACTCGGGGAATATGCCCAACTGGTAGAATCCGAAAAGAGTACCTCCCCAAGCCACCTCTCGGCCATGAGTCCAATCCCAGGGACAAGTGGCATGGAACATCATCGCCATCTCCTTGATTCTGTGTTGCGCAATGAGAGCGGTCATGTTCTCGATGATCTCGCCGTCCGTAGCCGTGCGGACTCCGCCGGTTTTGTTTAGGTCGCTGACCGTGAATGTGGCATTCCCGGGAGCTTGGTTTCGAAGTAGGCGTATATCATCCGGCTCAGTGTACGGATAGGACTTCATTTGTTTCCACCGACGCTCAAAGTGGGCTAGCGGGATGCCCGTTCGGCCTGTCCATGAGTATTCCCATCTATCGTCCTGGGCACTAAATGTGAAACACTGCATGTCGCCTAGCCGGGTCACGCTATTTTGGCATGTATCCAGGATAGATTGGCAGAATGAGTTGTAGCTTAGGGTTTGCTGATCATTCGGCTCCTCGGGTTGTAAACTCAGCGGGTCACTAGCATTGCTAGATTCTCGAGCATCTAACAGAGGACTCGTAGCACTCGAAAGGGTCTGGAACAGGGTGCTCGCAAAAATTGACCCACAAGTCCGACCGACACTTAGTGAAGCACCCCACGCATTAGAATGTGCGTTTTGAAGCTCTTCTTGCGGATCAATCTGGCGCTCACTAGCTGCTACCATGCTAGTAATGTTTAATTCCGGAGTCGTAGCCCATCCTCCCGAGTAACAAGCGGTAGTAACCAGGGTAATACGGGCACCGGGTTCAAGGACGGCTTTTAGGGCGAGGATACTCAGTCCCTTCGATTGATCGTTATCGTTCAAACAGAGGTGGTAATTGGAGAGTCCGTGACAAAATACAAGGAGGAGGAGTGGGGCGCCGGTTCGTTTAGCTAACTCGGAGGCTAGCCTTGCCTCCAGAAGGAAACGGTCAATCATTTCATTCGACTGAACGACAGTCACAGGGGTCAGTTGATCTTGATCCAGCATATCACGATCAAGGCAAGTTTTGCGCTCCTCGTAAGGATTGCCATGTAGATATGGCCCATATTTCTGGATAAGCTTGTTTGGATCAGCGGCTGTCAGCCACGTCTGCTTCTGACCTTGGCCTTTAAGGAGATAGTTGAAGGCGTAGAAGTCGGAGATAAACCACCCGTCTCGCAATGGGTGGGCACTTTTGATAGAAGGGTGCGTTGCGGCAAGGATGATGGTGTCCTCGTAAACACAAGGCACCGTTGAAGAGGTGAATGTTCCAGGCAGGTCACTTGGGGATGGCATATATCCTCCTTTAACGGGGGGCTGTTGCTGTGTTGAGTCTGTCATTGTAAAGTGATGTCGAAAGGTACGCCTATGGTGAAGTTAGGATCTTATCACTGAGGGATTCAAACACCCAAATTCTAATATAGTACTAGCCACATCGGGGGTTTACTTACTTTTCGACTTCTACCACCCAAGTAAGAACGGGCAACCAGGGAAGAGAGCCGAACCCCAAAGGAGAACGGGCGACAGAGAAGAAAACCGAACTCCAGAGAACGGGCGGCAACCAGGGATTGATATAGTCAAGGAGAAGAAAGACTTGGCCAAAGAAAGATGAAGAGGCAAGGTCACAAAGTTAAACAGTGAGTTTGAAGATCTAGTTGGGTCTATCGTTGTGGGTGAGGATGTTGAGGGAAGGGAATGCAGATATGAGGTCAATCACCATCGACACCCTAGCTCAGCTACTCCTAGTCCAAGGTTGGAAGTAAAAATACGTCACAATACGCCGTACTTAGCTTAACTAAGAAGGGAAACTGCATTCTTTCCTTTTTCCTCAACGGCAATTGGCACACCCAATATATCAACATTGCAATACGAGACCCTAAAAGCAAAGATACAAACTCTACCTTGTTTGCTTTAGGTATGAACCGCGGGTTCGGTGTCTCATCTGGGTCGAAGTAGATAAAATAGGGTTTCTCTCTACAAACAATAACGAGGACAGAAAGCACAACATAGAAAAAGACTCTCTACAAGGCGGATGTGATACTACGCTGGGTTCTCTAGTACGACGCACATATAACGAATAGACGAGTAGAGCACTACTGATGGATATCACATAGCAATCTACGATCTACCGATGACTCGACTTCACAATACCAAAAAGGAACAACCAAAATAATCATATTTATCACGCTCTGGGTATCGCTTTCAAACGCTCACTGTATCACAAGTAGAAAGGGCAAAGACGATAAGGCTAGCAGCGACGTCACTCCGGCCGGCAAAGCAAAGCCCTATTGATCTGAACTCTTCCGGCCCGAATTTCCTGACGATAGTAATCTGCCTGGAGCTCTGCGGCCGCGAAGATAGAGGCCTTGCTGGAATGGTAGTCTCCGGGAACCTTGATCGACATGCACAGTGGTTGGGAGTGATGCATAGGATGAACAGAGATGGTGGCAGCGCCGGTGCGGATGTATGTAGCGACGATGCTCATGAGAGCTTCATCATCGGGGCTGCAGTCTCGTTGGTCGAGGAAGACGTTCACCCAGTTGCTGATCTGTCGGGGATCGTACTCGGGTTCCGGGATTAGCTCCCCGTCGAAGTAGAACATGCTCTGCATATTTGAGGAAAGAGTAGTAAATGCGTCTTGGGGTGGGCTGGTAGACTTGCCTCGTTATTCTTTTGAGGGGGTTTGTTGGGAAGATGGAGTCTGGGTTGTGGTGTCGAGTTCCTTCCTGATGGCTGTTTAAATACTGCTGGTGTAGGTAGCCACCCTTCTATCTATAAGGTGTTTGTTCGGGTCTGTAGAGCAAGCGAACAATGCTGAGACAATGGTGGGAACAAGTCTTTTATCTATTGTAGAGTCTCTTTGGGTCTTTCCTTTGTATCTATTCAGATAGCCTTTATAGACGCGTCCAAGAACAAACAATATGCCTTGATCACTTGGAAACAAGAACTCTCTCGTAATCTATTTTAACATTAGACCTTTTCTACTTAAGATTGAATAAAAGACTGAATGCTCTTGTCCCTGGCCTTGACTAGGCGATAGCATCGACCCTACAGTAGCCAGTGCCCAGTACCCATTTGGCATATGCTCGAGAACCCCACAAAGATCATGGGCAGGTTTACGATTGACTTTAAGCATATCCGATGGGAAACCTAGTGAAACAACTAAACCAGTCGACCTTATACATGTCTAAGCACTGTCTTGACACTCTGCGCAAGTACAACACTGTATTATTCGGTGCCGTCAGACCACCAGGTATAGTCCCTTCCCTAAACTATATCAAGTAAGCCAGTCTGGTACAGACAAAACAGGTGTCTAGCAGACCCCATCTCACTCTGGGGGATCCCCCTTTCACTTTGCGGACCGGCGTAGCTGCATGCAAATCTAGGGCCCGTATAACCCTTTCCAGATACCAAATACCCCCTCACCACACTAAAGAAGGTATAAGCCGAGCGCCCGCACGGCAAAAGACGCGAGTACTCGTACGATGGCAAAGGAGAGTGCTTGCACGTTGAACAGCAATGCGAGGCCGCCACTCAAGTCACCATATCCACGCGCGTGGTGGGTCGAGCGTATCGTGAGGTTTTCCCTTGGAATGGATTAGCTGTAAGCTTTCAACCGTTGCCAGCTGAAATCAATGTGCGTGTTGATGCGATGATGGTGTTCGTGGTGATCAATCCACAATCGGACGATATTATCGTCAGCAAGAGTTTGCTCGTGAGTATTTTGACGGATCTTGCAGCTGTATTGGCAGGGTCGACTGGTGTTGAGTATCCGAGTATTTTGAATCCCAGGTGCAACGACCCGTCGCTTCGTGAATGCTTTTGATGTCACTGGTCATGTTGAGAATGCGGTCGCTATTGCGTAGTCGGTGGTAGAGAAGCTCGTTTGGCTTGGGGCCAAAGTTGCTGCTGGGTAGGTGACGGGTCGTTTGAAACGTGTCTGTGCTGTGGGGACATTGACTCCTGAGTTTGGGGGGGCAGATCTGACACTTAAAGGGTTTTGGATGCTATGTGTGCAGAGGTTGAGAAGTTGGGTTGAAAGAAAGTCTGAGACAATCAATTGTGCTTTCTTTGTTTCTTTTCATAATGGCACTTTTTTTTGACTGCGTCATTCTATGCCATCCCCTTGGATGATACTATTCCAGTCTAATCAGTATTTCAATATCAGATACTTAGATAGGTCCATATTTGGAGAAAGATGGCACTCCTAAGGATAAGAAAATGTGTAGAGAGCGATTCCCTTTCGAGTAATGAGCAACACCGTTTTAGGAAATGTTCCAGAAGAAGCACCGAACTATCACTGTCGTGAAGGACTCTCAAGACAAGCTGAAAGCCATCTCACACAAAATGGGACAGACCAGGACAGTGCACATCAAGAGATCTGAAAATGTCATTGTAGCAATATGAGACGTCTTTTCTTTCTACCGAAATGGACAGAAACGATATAAGGATACTGCTGGCCTAGCAACCACCATTTAAGCAGCCTGGTCATTCCACTTCTGGTCTTTACAGCCATCTAGAAGGACGAAGACATTCAGCACAGTATTCAGGAAAGCCTGACATACTCCAATACTCCAAGTAGTCAGTTTCGCCAACTACCAGAACCCAAGGTCAGCTCTCCAGGCCATATGCCCATCAACCTACTAACATAATACTCCCAAGGCATGTTTTATCTCAATGGAAGACCAATGCGAGAGCCCGAATACAGCCCCCGACAAAACACTGCCTGGGTAAATGTATTCCTCGCCGCGCACGACTACCGCTGCGATGACCTAGCCATCATGCATACCGTTGTGACCTGCATCCGAACAAGAGTCGTCAGCATCACTCACCATGCTATGCATCATGAACATCCACTGTGCATCTCTATCCAAGTCCCTGGCGAGCACTATGATAAAGAGTCCATTCTCGCGGCTGCGGAATTGTCAGCAGAGTATCTTAGATCGCTGGTTGCTCGAGGGTCTGTCCGTATCAGTCGATCTTTGCTCTTTCGGAGATAGCTGTTTGTTTGATGATTGGAAATGAAGGCGGTCTTTTAATGCTTTTTGGGCTTACCTGCAGGTTCATTTCGGACTGGTGGCCTTTCTTGCATGGTGGGACTGAGATTCTGATGCTTGAAGCAATTCATAGATTTTCCCAGGCCTGTTTGTTTGATTAATTGTCAATATAATCTAATCATTCTTGTTCTTTTTCTTTACATTATTCACCAACCTTCTATGTGCTCAGGCCCATAGAGAATGTACACATGCCCAGTGCAGGGGCTCGGGTAGCATCTGGACGAGCTCTGTGGAAAGCCTTCTAGTCGGATGAGTTCCAATCAAGAACTGGAGGGACAGGGTAGTGCAGCGCAGAGCCAAAAGAGGAAGTGAATGGAGGACGAGACTAAAGATGTTAGATTGCTGGATGTGTTCAAATTCCAAGGATGGCTTTAGAATACGCCCGTAGAGGGCTACCAGCCCTGCATATCCTTGATTTGGTCGGCCACGTCTTCAAGTTCAGCCTCAGGGATTTCAATGTCTCTTTCCACGGGCAAAGATGGTGGCCGAAGAAGCAAATCATGGTATGTTATGGTTAGAGGGTGATTGGTCACAGTCACCCGACTTCCCACTTTAGTCTTCCCGATGACTTGAGTACGATGTGGTCTGCCATTCCGAACTTGCCATTTCTCGATCCAGATTGCTGGCTTATCCCTACCAATCCGTAGAGTCAAGCATATTCTTGCATTGCCATAATTTGGATTGAGCCAGAAACGAGCATCAGAATTTAGTTTGGAATCTAACTCCGAGTGGAGAACACCTCCAGCTGGGCAGTCTTGGTCCTCCTTTCTCCATTCCTTATCGCAACTCTCATTCATCATGGGCATCGTGCTCAGTAAAACCACATGCTTTGTGGCATGTTCCAGATCCGAATAATACATAAAATAAACTCGTAAGGGGTACAAGGTAAACAGAATAGCAAGCTAGCAGCAAGTCTCCCGAAGATACTAAAGCATCCGGCGATAATAGCCCAGAACTCCACATTCACACTAATCCCCATCCCTCGGCCACCAGATCATCAAGAACAGCACTATAAGCAAAGACCCCATCGCTCAGATGGAAAAAGCCGGATACCCCACCTGTTTCAATGTCTACGATTGGGGCGCCACACACACCTTCAGAGATAGCCCTATTAACATTCCCAAAAACGAGATCCACCGATATGGTATCCCATTTTTCAAATTCGAGTTCGGGATGGCCAGCTGGAAGTATCGGTCGTATGGTTTTGGTACCAATGTTCATCATGCTGAAGAGCCCTGAGCTCATGCCGTCCACTTCACTCCATGAGCCTTGGGAGATTTGGGACATTTCTAGGAGCCGAGTAGGTGGTTCGGCTTGAAAGTAGCAGGAATTAGTGAAGCTAGATGAGGCAGCAGGTGTTAGCTTGACGAGAGCGATGTCAAGCTCAGGGCGGGCATCGACGACCTTGCCGATAAGATCTCCTCCATTCACAGATGGGTGGTATACTTCCTGGGATGAGAGGAACCCATGGTTGGCGACTGTCAGCATTTCTTCGCCCGTGAGATTGCGAATTCTGATACCACACGTGGTTGCAGCGTTTGTGAATTCAGTTGGGGTACCTGGGAGTCCAGAACCACTCTCGATTCTACATCCTGGTGTAAGAACCGACCGCCGAAGGTAGTTTGAGTCATCTTGTGGTGCAGCACCAACGGCTGATTCCTGGGATGGGTCAATAAAGCGAGGGCGGGTAAAGCTTCTCATGGTGCTAGAAAATGGTTCATCTCCATGGTGGTAGAGTGCTGTTCGGCCTGCCACGACCCCGGGAAGTGATCGTTTCTCGTAGCTCCGGCCATCTCCAAACTCAAGTTCGAAGATAGTCCAGGCCGGGAGAAAAATAGCAGCTCTCACACGAGCAAGTGGCGCGATAGCAGTAAGCACAGCCACTGTCTGACTCTTAGTCGGATTGGTCAATTTGGGCCACCGGACAGTGGGACAGGGATCAGAAACACGAGGATTCGAATATCCAGATAGGGGAATTGGTTCCCTAAACATCTCACCCGGGGGCACGAATATAACAGGCATCGTTCCAAGGGTCAGTGGTATTGGTTGGGGTGGAGAGGCCGTCTCCACACAAATAAACCACCCGGACATGTGCACTGTTCCCTCCCCGAACTTACTACGGATCCAGGTCCAGTCCTGACATGAGGGGTGGCGGAACTGGTTGTTTTGCTCATCCCAAAGCGTGAACGGCGCCATATCGTTCAAGTGACGTGCACCCCAGCCGCCAGGATTTTTCCAGCATTTTTGTTCAGGATGGGAATGAGGGAGCATATCCCGTAAGTGTTGGGTGTTTTCTCGGGCGCGAAGTGGACTAACAGGCGCATTACCATATATGTTAGTGTAGGGTGAGCTTCGTTGGATAGACTGAACGTGTGGGGATAGTCGGATCGGAGACGCTATTGGAGTTACCATTATGCCGATTGCTGAGGGGTTGATTACTTATCGCTGCCGCTCAACCACAAAGGATCAGGGTGTCGTAGGTTCCAAGGTTTCGGTCTTGAGCCGTGATGCTACGACGTCAGACTGGGGAAAGCTGGGAAATGCCGGAGATTTGTGTTAAGTCTGGGATATTTTCCGCCCAGCCGCTTTGGTGGTTCAGAGGAAGATGGTGGGTGTACGGAGTAGCGGGAATACACCTGTGCTGGCGTTGAGGAATTGGGCAGTAGCTTTATGAGCTTGGCCTGTGGATTGGCCAATCTGGCGGGAATGGGTCTTCTGCCTGAGGCAGCTTGGGACGGTCTGGGCCCTGACTAAGCAGGAACTTGGTCACAACAGCCCTGGAGAAAATCTGGCCAATCTGCCTGTCGCAATCTCAGGCCGTTCCTGTGAGCGTAATTTAATCCAGGGGGTCTCCTTCGACAAAGACAAAGACAAGACAAACTACTGATGAAATACGATGAAAAGGAATCGACTTGATGATAAACTTGAATTCTTGCTCGATACTTATGAGGACTGTGGTTTCCCTCGGAGGTTGAATCCGAGAGCGGGGCGGTGTACATATTGCCATAAGAATATGTACATAATTTGTCCGCCTAACTCTTTCTCTGCCCCCCAGTATCCGATACACGTTCTCTCAATAGTACACAATTGACCGTTGATTAGGATGACTTATATAAAAGTGTGCATTCTTTCTTCTATGAATTTATATATAAGCAAAAAGAAGGGATGTAGTAAATACAAACAGCCACGCCAAATGCAAAAGAAATACTCAACGGTACAAGATATCATCAACCATCTCTCCAATAGCCAAAGAACTCGTCAGGCCCGGGCTCTCAATACCCAATAAGTTAACAAACCCAGGTAGATCCTCTTCCTCGCGTATAATAAAGTCCTGGAATCCCTTACCCTCGTTAACAGCACCACCTCTCCCCAACTTGGGCCGAATGCCACAGTAATCCAAGGTAATGGCATCAATATCAACACCAGGCAGATAAGCTTTGATCTCCAACAATGCCTTCTCCAAACGCGCAGCGCTGGGAATCAAATCATCCGGACTGTCCACCCACTCAACATCCGGCCCAAAGCGAACACGTCCACCCATATCAAGCGTCAAATGCGTCCCCAGTCCACCCGTTCCAGGCAGCGTCGCCGGATAAACCAAAACCGAAGTCTTCGGCCTAGACGCCGCATACGAGAAATATGTTCCCTTGGCATAATGCGGGACGAGATGACGCTCCTGGGGGAGGAGCATGTTGCTAATCGCGCAAGCACCATGACCGGCACTATTAACCAGCGTTTCCGCCGTGATAGAAGTCTCAGATCCATCCTCAGAGATAGCGGTGATCTTATACCCACCACGACCGCCATCAATAGCCTCGACAGCCGTCACGCGCGTCTTGAGCGCGACGTCGCCGCCACGGTCCTCAAAGTCGCCTTGCAGGAACGTCATAAGCGAGTGGCTGTCTACAATACCCGTTGTCTCGCTCTCTACAATGCCTGCCTCAGCCCTGACGTCTGGTTCACGGCGCAGCGCTTCGTCCCGTCCGATAAGTCGGGTCGGGGCGTCGCCGAGGGCTTGTGCGTGGGTGTGCACTTTCAGACAGGCCTCCCATTGCTCAGGGGTTTGGGCAACAATCCATTTTTTGGTGTTGCGGTGGGGGATGCTGTTTTGGGCGCAGAGGTCGTAGAGGAGGTTACGGCCGTGGATGCAGAGGCGCGTTTTGAGGGAATTTGCGGGATAGTATAGACCTGCGTGGATTACCTGGTCGGTGAGGGGGTATTAGTCACATGTATAATTTGTAATTGGCTGCTTGTTGTTCTCAAGGCATGTTTGAGCGGTCTTATCATAGCTGGTGTATGTGTGGATGCATACCTCGGAGTTGCGACTACTCGTCTCTGTGCCCACCGCATCATGGCGCTCTAGCAGAATAGTCGAGGTACCTTCGCGAGCTGCGAGCTGCCTTGCGGTCGCGAGACCGACTACACCTGCACCAATCACCTGTAATTGAGTCGGATTAGCTATTTGTCCCATTCGCGATCTCAGGTGCACTGTACCGCATGAGTGAAGTCCGCATTGATAGGTCGCGTGGTGGAAAAGGAGCGGATGGGGAGCTTAAACATCTGCTTCACGCGATTGTTCCTCAACAGGGCACATGCCATTTTTGGGAAGGCGCAGTTGACCAGTCTGCAAGGGAAGGAACGAAAGAATCGGAAGGAGCTCCCCCGCGTTCTCACTGTGGGCCTCGGGAGACATGACGCGATCCCGAGCCCGGATCATAGATGACCCTGCGATCTATACCAGTCTTTATATACAATCATGTCCTGTTTGGCTTTCTCTTCCTTCTCTTTTCCTTTTATCTGGACCCTTGGAACGTTCTACAAGCAAAAAGCGAAAGAGAAGGTGGAGAGTGTCGGCTATGTATATATATATCGACAAAGATAACAAGCCGGATATAGATTTGAAAGAAATAAAAAGCTATTGTCTGCAACAATGAGTCGAACACTGCAGTACTTTACATCGGATCACTACTTACTGCCTATATAAACAGCCTTCCATCCCATCAGCTAACCCCACTATCACACAGCGAGTACACCTCCAGCCATCCTGAATCAACCATCTCAAGCCAACGACATCAACTCAACCTTTTCAAACCAACACACCCAACTAATCCAAAATGCCCCGCCGAGGTATGTTTTCCCGTGCAGACGGCACGAACATCATCGAGCCTGATATGCAGGAACACGTTCACTGGGTGACCGTAGACTTCAGCCGATTTGGCGGCCGCACTCGACCCAACAGCGGTGAGAGCATGATGCGCCTCATGGGTGAGCAATGCCGGTCCGGAGTGGCTACTATCGGGACCGAGCCCCAGCATCACAAGAATCCATACTGCCTGTCTTTGCCCGTTGTGGGAGACCCTGCTCTTGCACATGTTGATATTATGGCGCGCGCAGCTGAAATTGCCGATTGGCATTGGGAAGAGATTATGGCTTCTAGGGAAACTCTCGATACTGCGAGGATTCTTGGGGACCACCCGTGGTGGGACAATGTGCCCATCAATGGGGAATAGGTATATGTGTGGAATTTGTTTCATATGATTAAACCAATATAGATATCGATCTTTCTTTCATCCCGAATGCTTACCGTTAAACCTATAAATCTGTTTAATTCTTTCCTTTCCACTATCTGACTCTTACTATTCCTTTCTAAGCATAGTTCTTTGGATTCTATTCCTCCTAGCGAATGTTCCCTTCTCCAAGGTTGACAATTTTTATGAATAACCTAGAAGCTTTCCTGTCCCTCAGAATCCACCGCAGTTTCCTTTTTGGACCTGGAGAGATATTCTACTTACCCGATCCAAACTTACCTAGTGTCAACCCGTATAGTTCCACCGCCACCCACCTCTCCGTCTAAACTACATCTCATCCGATCCCTAGGTATCTTCTAAGAGAAAGATCCCAGCTCCGAATTTACAGATAGCGTTGCACAAAGCAATTGACAGTCGTGATAGTGTTTATGCCCATACGACACCCCTTATTATGTGATAGAAAGCCAATGATACAGGAGTTTCCAAAGATGCAGTCTCGCTAGGTCACACTCTAACTGACTGTTTGGGGATCGTACCTACTCTCTTTGAAATTCAAGCAAACGCCAAGAGACCCAACTGGAGGTTACTTGATACTGTTATGAAGCAGCTCAATCAGTATCCTGACACGAAACGACCCACATCTTTCTTCTTTGCCTACATCTGTCATGCTGAAATCAATATATATGGCGATCTGGTGTTCTGCTCGACGAACAGAAAGTCTTTCAAGTGGAGCTTGCTTAGAGAAGTAGCGTAGTGCTCAACCCTATCGATCTCACAACCGCGGAGGCAGGGATGAATTGTTTTGTGTTACTCAAAGACTCTTCAGCGAATAAAATATTGGGTAGCCTCCATATTACATGAAAGTGAGAAGGCGGAGGAAGAGAAAAAGATCAACAAAAGAGTTAAATCTTGGATAAGTATAATATCCAGTGAACAACTAGCGAGGAACGATCTGAGAAACCAATCTTAGAGCCCTTGTAAACGCCACGTTCTATCAGCTAGTTCTTCAAGAGTCCCTCTATCCAGAGTAATGTCTATCTCATTTCCAGTTGGTTGCCGTAGGAAAAGAGATTCAAAGGGAATGGTCAGAGAGTCATTGGTCAATTCCACTTGTCCATTGACCTTTGATATTTCGGTCCGTTGAGTGCTTTGAACTACTCCATCAATACGCTCCCATCGATCAATCATAAGCCGGGGACGCTTCCTGTCGACCTTGATTATGAGTGTTGCGTTGACATTGCCTTTGGCCGGGTGCAGCCACCAGTCAACGTCCCGCTGGAGCTTTATGTGCGACTCAGAAACTCCGACCTCTAGGGTCACCGTAGGCTTATCGGGAAAGCCTTGAGGGGCTGGGAGAGGTCCCCAGCCTTGATCTGCCTCTTTGCCCTGGCCCTCTTCCCCGATTGTAGCCCCGGCGTAGAAGCGAACGTTGGCTGCAAGACCCATCTGGATAATAACGCGGGTTAGGGCGAGGTTAGCGAACTGGCTGATGTCAGAGTGGATTATTGTAACCATCTTCACAAGTAGAAAGTTTGCTGCGAGATCGAAGGAGTAGCGGTTGGGGCGAGACAGTACAGGGGAATCAAGGATATCGGACTGAATTGCACGGCCAGAGATGTAGAAGAGGATGCAATCGCTGGGAAGCTCGCCGTCTGGAATATTATCTGTTTGATCAAGTTGGTCGCTCCGCTGGTGAACAGAAACCAAGTTGAGCGATTCGTTTTCGCTTTTTAGGAAGGAACGTGTGACTCGATGTGAATAGGTCTGCTGTGTATTCCCCCTTTGGATGTGACGAGACAACAGGGAATCGTCCTTAACTCCCGGGTCGTCGGTCTTCCCCTCAGGGGGACTTGGATGCTGGGATTGAGCAATCATGGACTTCTCAAGCCGGCGGAGCTCTATATCCATGATCATACAGAATTGCGTTTCTCCTTCATATTTGTACTTTGGTATATTTGAGGGGAGGTCTTCCAAGAAACTATCTCTATGAAGGAGTTCAGATGATCTGGAAAACATCTTCGTAGCAGTAAATTCCACGGGTATCGGGCCGTGTACATAGTACAATACGGAGAAGTGATGATAGTCCTGAGGTGGTTGAAATAGATAGGAATCTAATTTCTGATTGACTATCTAATAAATCAGGTAGTCGGCAGCTAAGGAAGCTTAGCAGTGACGTTATTATTTTCATTGAAAAGCGTAATTGACTGTTAACCTTGGGACGTAACCGGAAAGGGAGCGGGCCCAAAGCCCAGCCCATTTGCAGGTTGGGGGTTGGGCTTTGAGCTTTGGGCTTTGTGGGCTGGAGGTCTAAGGATAGCCGAACGTGCCCGTAAAAGGGGCCACTGCGGTGCTAGAACAGCGCTATACCCGACGTAACGGACGCAGTGATCCCTTCCAAGTATAGAATGGCTAAATCTCGGACTAGTTATATTATGCCTGGTGTGTTTCTCCGTGTATCTTCAAGAACTCCCACGCCACGCGACGAAGGACAAAATGCCACTCCACTTCATTGAAAAACATACCCCCCGGATACCTGCTTGGGGGAAGACTACATTCGATATTTATTTGCTTTCCGAATGGGAAAAGCCTCACCCAGACCCCTCAGCCTCCACTGAATCCCCCGCCGACCGTCGCAAAAGGCTTTTACGCCAATTTCTCGCATTGGGATGCGAAGGAAGACAGGTGAATGCCCTCTATACCTCGTAAAAGACCACAACATTGAACTCACTGAATATCAAATTATTAGCCTTATCGACCAGGCAATGCACCACCCTCTCCTACTCAAGCTCAAATAGATGATATTCTTCGGCCTGCAAGGCCTGAAGCACTGCGTGTCTACGGTCATAGCACCACTGCCGACAATGGCTGCTGGCTTCGTCTCTGCTACACGAATGAAGAGGGTCATAATGCTCTATGGTCTGCCAATAAACTCGCAGAATGGGTAACTTATGATGGGGTTGTCCTTGACGATGAAAGTATCTTCGGTGGCCTGGATTTAGCAGCTGCTCTGGAAATATTTCCTGAGCGTGTCGCAAATGAGCGGGTCAATTTTGAGATCAGAGAGGAGAGCCTCAGGGACGCGATAGAGGATGCCGAAGACGGTGACTGGGATGACAACCCACTTGAGCCCTACGCTCTGTATCAGGCCGAGTGTGTTGTTACCCATATGTATGTGGAGGATGATGTCGCGGTGAATGGTGGGGGTTTGTTGCATGTGTTTTTGGACGACCGTGGGAATGTGGTCAGGCAATGGCGGGTGCAGGATGATGGATCGGAGAGCATTTATGATGGCGCTTGGTTTGAGCGTGTTTGGAAAGGGGACTTTGAAGGTGAGCGCGGAGAAGTCGGTCCTGCTTATCAGGAGGGTGGAAGCCGAGGTCCCCCATACACTCAAGACGTGAGACTGTGAGCTAGTACATGTAGATATAAAGCCGGTCATTCTTGTCTGGTGAACGATCCCTGAAAAAGACTCCGCGTGCTAGAGGAAAGAAAATTGTATAAAATCAATTGGAAGAAACCTAAGAGACATAATAAGGAAAGGTCTATTGTACTCAAGCCAGTATATCTGGGTCTTAGAGACAAGACGCTTCTAGTCAATCTGAACCCTTGCGCGCATCGAGACAACAACCGTTCCCATTACCATATCGATGGACCTCTGGCTGGTTGAATAGGTTTATCGCGCAAAAGACATGCCTGTCGGTTTTTCCGCTAGAACCCTTCTTGGTCTCACTACTCCGTAGGTTTAGCGCACTTGGCTTTTTGAGTGCCCGTGTAATGATGATCATATTCCAAGAGTTCCGCCACATATGTTTCTTATGAGTCCGACGAAGAGAATTTCATATTCCTCATACATCCTACTAAAAATCTATGCAATGTCTGAACTCAACGAAGCTAACTGTGGCCCGGAAGGGCTACCTTTATCTGTCAGACGGTATACCTATCGAAAAGAAGACTTTGCCCAAATCGTCGATCTTGAGCGCGAGCGCCTTTATCGTTCAATGCATTCGATTAAAACTATGTCCGAGGCAATATACAATGATGGAAACTTAGATGCTTCAGAGGAGCCTGAAGATGCCACTGAGTATATCATTTTCTCTATTGATACGGCTACGCACGATCGTGACTTCCTAGATCCGAATATTGAACCAAAGCTTTCTATCCGCACTACGTTCGATCGAAGCATTAATTCACTAGCCGTCAAAATGGTGCTTCACGAACACGAAGAGCTATCTGCTGCTTTCCATACGGCTATTGTACGAGCGTTGGGTCCGATGGGGCTGGAAAGATCGGTCTACCACTACCGCAGCACCACGATTCCTGTGGCCAACGGTTCCAAGCAACCAGATGAGGCATGGGGTCCAAGGCCACCACCACCTGGAAGCCCGCGCAGACCAACCGTGGTAGTTGAAATAGCAGTCACTGAAACGTACACCAAGTTGCTTCGTGATACCAACCGGTGGCTCGACCCAATCGATGGTCTCGCGAAGGTCGTGCTAGCCATAAAAGCAGACCGACGGCGGCCTAGGATTACCATCGAAAGATGGCAGTATGATAGTGCCAAGGCAGAGATCGAAAACTTCCAAACCATCGAGATCATCGAAAGCAGTGAAGGTGACGAAGTCACAGTGACCGGTAGCCCACTCCTCATTCCCTTCCACCTTTTTTTCCTCAGACCCGCAGAACCTCCTAAGGAGGACGACATACTCGTTCATGAGCAAGAGCTCAAGGAGATTGCCCAGTTAATCTGGGAAATTCAATTTTCGGCGTTTTGATGTCCTGGATCCCCAAAGCGCCCGTCAGTCACCCTAGAGGTTGCCCGCCACCTCCCCGTGCCAGATGGATTCTGTTCCTTCCAGTCTTTCGTCACCATGCTTGGGTGCGCTATTGTTGAGATGCCTCCCAGTGCCTGTTGGTCCAGGACTCTCTTTGTGCACACTGCGCCTGATAGTTGTTTACTAGCTTAGAGGCTATAAAGCCCCAGCTTTCCCAGAGACAGAAGAATAAGAGACTTTCCTCTTCTCTATCTCTCTCTTCCCTAGTAGCCAAGAGCTATCTTTGGGAGCGGAGTGAACTCCCAAGAAATAGGAGGAGCATAGTGAAAATTGACGGCCATCAAAAAGTAGTCGCAAGAGTAGGTCGTTAAATCTTATTATGTACAGGGAAGTATTGTGACTGATCTGGAAGACGGTGTGCCCGGGATCTCTTTACTTATGAACAATACTCGCATTATCTACCAATCCATCATTAACGTTGGCGCAGAAACTATTCTTGTCTTATTTCCTTCTGTACTCCGTACGGAGTAGGTTTAGTCGGGACGAAGTCAGGACCGCCACACCCTAGTGCCTCTCGACCGGACCAACCAGACAGCGCATTTCCTAGAGGGCTGCAATAGACTCCTCCCCAGGCCACTCTTCAGGATTCCAAAGCCCGAAAGCAGATTCACGATCCTAGTCAATGATACTGCCGCCGTGCAAGCGGTATATCGCACCTCTTCCACGACTTATCTCCATCACTGAAAAAGAGATCCCATGGTGCAGATGTCCCTTTCCCCCCTGTCCTGTGCTTAGAATCTCAATAAAATGCAATCTTTGTTCAAAGATCTGGCCAGGGACATCGGCCTCCCTCCACAAACCCCACCCCAAACTACGGCCTGTATTTCCTAACCTTCCACTTCATCTTCGCGTACAGGGTGCTCTCTTCCCGTACGCTGAAACAATGGTACGGAATCGATCACCAGGTCTCGCCGCGCGAAGACCTGGGGAAATACGGCGAGGCGGCTGTGCGGGATGGCAAGATTACGCGCAGGCAGCTGGATATGCTTAAGCGGAATGAGGCGGCGCATGCTAATTCGGTGGAGAATTTCCCGCTGGTGGTTGCGGGTGTGGTTTTTGCGTCGGTGGCTGGTGTCCCTGGGCGGGCTATTAATGCTGCTGCGTTGTCGTATACCGTTGCGCGCGTTGTCTATGGGGCTGTCTATATTCTGATTGATCATCCGACGTGGAGTCAGGTGAGGGGGTTGGTGTGGTGGTGGGGGAATCTTAGTTGTTTCTTCTTGTTGTGGAAGGCCGGGGGGCTGTTGGCCTAAAATCACTGTAAAGAGCTATAGTGTATGTCAATTTTGCTGTGTTTCTAGCAAATGTAGCATAAGACTAGAAGAAAAAGGCCGAGAATGCGAATGAAAGCTCCTCTTAGCAATAAGAGTCATCAAGACTCGATCAACAATTCAGAGCATATACATTCCACCAAGCAAGAGTGAACACAATTCCAGCACGCCGTGACAGAAAAGGAAAAGGAAAGAGGAAAGAGGAAAAGGAAAAGAAACAGAAACTCCGACTCCCAGTATGAAATGCCCACGCGCAATTCCGCGTCCTGCGTCTATATAAAGGCCCTAAACACGGCCGACACAAATTAGGAGCAAAAGCAAGGACGCTATTTCAAACCAAATCCTTCGCTGTTGACAACCGCATCCCAGAGCACTCGCTGGAACTTCTCCAGAGTTGAATAGCGGTAAAGACCCAGTGTGTTGAAACACGTACGCGCAATCGGATAACGAGGACAGTCATCTCCAAGACAAGCAAGTCGAATGACGAGGCTCGTGGCTCCCATTGCTGGAATTCGGTCGCTGCCAGTAATGAATGTCAGAATCTTGCGCTGCGCTTGCGGTGGTGACTTTTCGAAGAAATCCCAAAACCATCGCACTACGGGAACTGACTCTGGTCGTGGATGAGACCAGTTGTCATACGTGGCCACAGCCCGAAGAGAATTGACGTCGAGTGATTCATCAGACCCGCAGACTAGCAATTCGATCTCTTCTGGTCGGAACAAAGATAAAGCATTTCCACCGCAGACAGTGAAGAAACCGCGTTTGAATGGCTCGAATTGTCGAGACACGGATGTGTCTAGCAGGTATTGGACATAGCAGTCCACGAACTCACGCCGATTGGAATTGGTCACTGGCCGATTCTCACCATTTGCACAGAGTGGCACAGTGACGATCTCACCATAGCGGTCGACCTGGGCAACAAAATCGTAGCAGAATGTTTCCGCAACATTGCCTTCGAATTCCAGAAGACCCCGGAGTCCTTTGGCGAGAGCTGGCCGGTATTCGGCAAGATTTTCTAAAGTGCACTTGAAAGTCGAACGCAAGGAATTAGCCGTTTGCGGCCCGTTGGTATGCGGCGCCGACGACAACAACTTCTTGAATGCAAATGGCGGAAGATCAATATCAAGAATAGTGGAGTTGTAGATGGCGAGTCCCAGAAGAACCCCAACTAAGAAGAATTGCTCAGATGACTCGAAGCAATAGGGATTGAAGTAGCAATACTGCGAATCATCATCGTAGACGAAAAGACCTATCTTGAATTAGCATATCACTCAATTTTGGGAGTGAAAGAAGTTTACCATGATGAGGGTCAAAGACCTCTCGGACCAGCAGAAGGAACCACTCCTTCCGCAGACCTCCAGCGTCGATGCCTTCTTCACCCACGAATTCAATTCGGAGACCCTTTTTGATTTCTTCTTGGCCAGTGCCAACAACTTCACTGACTCCCTTGAGGCTGTCTTCAACCAAGCACTCGCGCCGTACCTTCAATACAAGATACTGGCTAATTGCCTGAGAACTCAGGACACTGTTGAAAAAGGCGTCGCGGGCTCTCACTTCCATTTGACGACGTGCATCATGCTCCATGATGTGGATTTTGGCCCAGATGCTGAGGAGAAATGGATATTGGCAGAACGAAAACTTTGAGCCCTTGGATTCCCAGGTTTCGAAGTCTGCCACCAAATCCGAATAGTCCAGCAGTGTGTTATAGAATGTACTGATTGGAATCATATGACCCTGGCGGGGACCTGGGTTCTTGGGGGCTTCAAGGCTGCGTGGTGTTCCATCAGATTTCCTCGTGGCAGTGGAGATGTTCGCTGTAAAGAATAATGACATGACCCTTGCGGCCGATCTGATCTGCCAGTCCTCGGCGTATATCATGGGCGTCTCGGTCTTTTTGCCAGACTTCTTGTTTGGGGTTCTTCGATTAATAGCAGCATGAAGTTCTGCAGGAGTGTTGCCCGAAGCACTGGAAAAACTCGGGATCAAATCATCTCCGTCTTGAAGATTTCCGGGGCGTTTTCGCCCATGTTGGCGGCTCAAACGGTAAGTGAGAAATCCACCCACAAGTTCTACCAATCGCTCGAAATGCCTAATAGAGAAACGCGAAGCCCAAGAGACGAAATAGTGATGACAGTCATTGGGCAAGTTGGACAGGAGTCCAAGGATTCGTTTGATAAGCCCATAGTGATGATTGGGGCTTTCTGGACGAGAAGGAAGTATAGATGACTCTTTATGTGGAGACTTGCCGTCTCGATCTGCCGATTTGGGATTGTCTTTTGGGTGTGAGGGGCGCCTGGCACCACGAGGCGGCGACGGGCTTGGTGTATTCTGGGGATAAGAGGCAGGTGAAGAGAGAAGAGGATTTGCTAACAAGATGAACAAGAATCTGGTGTCTTCTGGATTTTTCAAAACTCGGCGTGGGCGTTTGAGAAGGTTCTCCGTGGCTTTCAACAGCGTCCGTTGTAAATGTAGACGAGAATCGCTGATTTGTCTCCCAATCAAAGATGGGTCGATAGCTGCCCATCTCTTGGCTCGTATCAAAGCCGCTTCTGAGCGTGTGGGATCAGGCTTTTTGGACTTCCACTGTTCAGCCCAAGAGCTCCCCGCGGACAGAATTGAATGATACCATTGGGCTACTTCGGCCCAATTAATTCTCGGACTTCGGGATGATATCATTCGAGATTTCTGGGGACTCTTTTCTTTGGAATATGTAGGATTTTTGCCTTCAGCTTCAGCCCATTCATTCATCCACCAAGCCGAGTTCTCAGTCAGGTCCCCCAAAAGAAGTGTCTTCGCGTCTGGCTCAAAGACAGGGGCATCATGCGCAGGTTCAGGTATTGCGGTGGTTTCCATCTTCATTCTCGGCGGATTGCCATTACTGGCGGATCGAGCCGACCGAGATGGTGGATATGTGGGGAAAGATTCGTTCAGGCAATCACAGCCTTTGAAAGCAGTAGTGATGATATTCTCTAGCTGCTTGAATACGTATGACTGATTGTCTCGGCTTTGGCAATCCACGTTCGTAGCTTGCGAGCTGTCTTGCGGACGGCTGGCGGATTTTGGAGATGATTGAAGATCTGAATTTGCACGGGCTCTGGCAGGTGTGTCGTTACCCTCCCAGCGAGCGGATTCTGGTGTTAAATGAGCCGACTTCTCCTTTGATGCCGCAAGCCTCCCTCGTTCGCTTGACTGGGAAGCACTACGGCTCCGAGAATCACCAGCATGCGGGGGCGATAGATTCTTTGAGTTAGAGGCATGTGTTTGGGTCGATGGAAGAGCAGGCAATGGTTTGTTCAGTATGTCGTCGTCCAGCGACAACCATGGCCGGTAGCCATTTTCCAATAGGTCATCAAAATACATATTGAGACACCCTCCAATCATACCCCGGGTCTGGTTGGCCGTCAAAGGAACCACTGGAATCATAAGTCAGCCTTTCTGCGTGTGGCATATAGCACAATTAGCATTGACGCTATTACCTTTACTTGCCGACCTAGACGGCCCCCCTGAGATCCATGTGGAGAATTGTCATGGCGACCACCCAAGTTTTTTGTTTCATGGGCATCCGATTCTAGATCTGTGATCATTAAACAGTCGGAGCATCTAAACACCTTCAAGTGTCGTGGCCATCGGACCGTAGCATCGCATGTCTGGCACTTGCCCTCGGCGAGATCATTTGCAGGTCCTCCACGTGCTGCACCCTTTCGAGGACTATTCGACTCGGGTTCCAGAGGGAAGGTTACTTCATCATCATCCGAATCTGAATCCCAATTATTGTGCTTAGCGGCTGCCTTGTCCCGCCTGCGCCCAAATCCGGCGAACGGATTGCTGATCGAGCGGGAATGGCCTCCGTGGTGCGAGTGCTTGGGCACACTACCATTTATTGGAGACATGGTCGGAGCATCGCGAGGCCGAACCGGGAGATTTGGGCTAGTTCCCGGTCCGGAAATTTGGGAAGGGTGTAGAGGAATGGCGGCTGTACCAGAAGTCGAGCTCGGAGGGATGGGCAGATGACGTTCAAATCGGGACGGCATAGAGGTATATCAACTCGATGAATCTAGATTCCACGACCTGATTTAACCTCTCCAATATGAGTTCCAGCTCGTGGAGCTTGTTTCTTTTGCCGGACACATGCGAATATATCGCGGGGAACGGAGTGGGAGGCAGTCGAGTAAAGCGAGCTTTGCTTCTTTGTTTGATCAAGGGAAAGAACACGTTGGTCTGTTGCAGGGATGAGCAGTCAGTAATCGAGTCAAGTTCCCCCAAATAAAGAACTTTCTCACCTCGGAATCTCAAGGAAGAGTGATGGAGTGTTATGGCAGCATCTCATAGTCCGTGGACGGATTGGGAAAGTGGCCGGGGGAAGGAAGTAGGTTGAGCCTCAGGCAGCACATACCTATTTTTGGATTACCCACCTACCTAATATGTATAGCACCTGGGCAGCCCACACATCTATTTATGTGAGACACGATATCCTTGTTTCCCAAGAATCACCAAGAGACATGATTGATTGGCTTCAGTAATTCCTCACGATAGACTATCTGCTTTAGCTTCCCGCCACACCTTGTACTAGGTGTTACTAGCGAGTACAACGATCCGCCAAGGCACGCTACCCACATGTACCATTCAACACCTGTTTGGCTCGAGGCCAGCGGGATGACACTAAAGCCGCGGTAACCTTGGAACCAGTCACGAGAATTAGTTACATATCTATAGGTTCAAGCCTTGTGGAGTACTCCGTGTGGACCCTAAGCCGTGTCTACGCGGTCTACAGTACCAATGGTATGGAGTTGAACCAGTCATACTTCGTTAATAGGGGAATTGAAAATAGAACAAGATGGCTTTTTGGCTAACAACAGAACCGGCTTGCCTGGATTAAAGTTGAGCCCAGCGTGGATAACACTGTCTGGGAAAGAAGTGTTTGTATAAATGACCACATGCCGTAACCAACATTTTCCAACCGAAACCACTGGCTAAGTGCACTATCGCACTTAACGGTAACGCCAGTAGCTCTGGGTGTTCTGGCGCTTCCAGGTGTGGCGGCGACCAGCCTTGGTGTTGTTGTAGCGGTGACCCTTGTTCATACCGCGGGACTTCTTGCCGGTAGCGGTAAGACCACGAGACTCGCGGTGCTAAAAAGGAAAAATCATCAGCAAAGTTCTGGAGGACCACAATCTGGTTCAGAGGTAAACTAACCTTGTGAACGGGGGCGCAGATCCAGTTGATGCGAGCATCACGACGGATGGCCTTGTGCTGGGGGTCGACAAGGATAACCTCGTAGTACTTGTAGGTGGAATCCTGGTTGATCCAGTAGGAGTTCAGGACGCGCAAGTTAGCAGCGCGGCGGCCAACACGCTCCTCAGCGGTGGACTTAAGAGAACGCTGGTACTTGAGCTGGTTGACTCCGTGGTTGGTGGGCTTGCCTGTTCACACAATCGTACATTAGTCCAAGAGCTCTCCGATTACCACAGATATCCATGGAAATCCGTCCGGAATAGACATGTTCGTACCGTAAGTGGCACCCTTGGGGACAGGGCGTTTGCGGCCACCGCGGCGGACACGGGCGCGGTAGATAACGTAACCCTGCTTGGCCTTGTAACCGAGACGACGGGCCTTATCGGGGCGCGAGGGGCGCGAGGCACGGTGGATGACGTTCAGCTGGCGGAGCTATATTATGCACTCTCAGCAAAGTTCAACGAGTGTATAGCAAGACACATGAAGCCCTGGAAGGGTTTTCTTGCGTGCCACAATCATTTCCGCCGAATGACTTTTGTTCGAGCCGCCTAGCAATACCACAAAAACGGCATATCCTAAGGCAACGCACACGAGTGCTCGGCGGAGATGTTAGGCAATCGAGGGGCGAAGGGTTTTATCTCACCTCCCAGCATCGGACGCGCAGCAGGAAGCGAATCACATCGGACTGCTTCTTCTTTTGGATTTCTTCCACGTACTTGAGGGCACCCATCTGGACGGTTGAAAGTCAGAGAAATGCACTGACGATGAAAATTGGATGGAATCGAGTGATGAGAGATGGTAAACGTACCTTGTCGGCTTCACGAGGTCGTCGGTTGTCGTTGTCGCGAAAAGTTCGAGGAAGAAAACGTCTGGAGGCAGAGGTTGTGTGTGGGACGCTAACGATTAGCGAGTTGACCCACCCGGCCAATCAAAATGCAGGTGGATCTTGTGCCTGAAAGACCAGGTGTCGATCTTGATTTTCACGCTGAGGTCTCTAAATTGATGTGCAAAATGTCTGATAGATTGGCTTACTGTGGATTACTATGAATTTTCTCGCCACTGCTCATGAATGAAAAAAATTTTCATCCGCAGAGGTCAGGTATGATTATTGGACCACCCTTTACTGTTCTATGGTCTACCTAGAGCAACCGGATCCCCTTGTTACATCGATGTACACCCTCTGCTAGGGGGAATTTTTACGGGAATCAACGAATATGTATTTGGTTTTTTGCTCTTGATTATCTGGTTTTGCAGGTATTTCTACCCGCTCAATGTCACCGTCACAAAATACTACAGAAATTTACAAAAAAAAAAAAAAACACCTTTCCAATGCGATCGCCAAACCACACGCTCGTAAAATGCAAACAATGAACTTCGCTCCCTCCAACGCTGGCAATAAACGCTTGAACACTCCGTAAGGCATAACTTCACATAGTACAAATTCAACACGCAAGTAAAAAGCAAACAAGAGTAGTCTCGTGTGGAGCCTTTGTCAAGAGCGCCTTGAGAGATGCTCTTGTTGAACCATTTCATTAGTCACCGAGATATAGAATGAACCCGGTGGCAAGACGCTCTTCTTGCATAGTGGACAAAGACAGCTATTTTGTGTCAGGAATGGGTCGATGCATTCTGAGTCAAATATGTGACCACATGGCAGTTCGCGGACCACAGATGACCCAGCAACAAAATCGTCGATGCAAATAGCGCAGGTTGTTTGGGTATGGCTCAGACGGTACTTGCTTCGACAAGATTCTTTTGAGTCAGGCTTTATCACTGCTGCTTCAGGCTTTCGAGGACCGGTAGCTCCACGAGACTGATCGTCTTTGTTCGGTGACGACGGTCTGGTATTTTCACCAGAATCAAGTTCGGTTGGATTTGCCGACCCGTTTTCTTCTGGAAGCAGTGCTTCTTTGGGTGCATCAATCCGAAGATATGTATAGCATGGCATTTTGTCGACTACCTCTTGAGGAGCCTTCATTTGGTTCAATGCCAATGCTTCAAGGTCGACCTCGCCTTCATTGACCCGTCTTTGAAATTCAACCCGCCTCTTACGTAGAACAAGTCGATAGACGATGATAAGAACGAGACTCAGCATAATGATAGTTCCTGCAATTGCAAGCACAAAGCTCCAAAGACTCGGCATCCCCCGGATTTTTGATCTGCGATATGTGAGAATATACTTCGATGACAACGGAAATTTTATGACCTACCATTCTCAATCCTGGCAAACAACCGCTGATTCTCCGACTGCATGGCAAATCCCTCGGTCGAACTGTCTCTCTTGGTGCCGACTGTGTTGTCTGAATACCACGAGAGATCATTGATCAATGAGATTCCCGCTGGGCCGGGGATAGCATAGACTGGGTAATGGTTGTCCACCCTCCATTCTTCTTCCTTATCGATGGTCCAAAGTGAGCTATTCGAATCAGGGGGTATCTCTGTGTCGTTACTTGACGGCTGGAAAAAGATCATAGCCTGCGTCCCGACTTTTTGAGCGGCGTCTAAGAACGACAGAGAACATTCGGCGGACACCCATGGAGCGAGGCCAACGAGGGGATACCCGAAGTCCGACACATCCTCATATCGGGTCACATTCGATGGCACAGATGAATCGGTGATTTTGTAGCATGGATCGTGGGGCTCTAGACTCGGTACGAACAGAATGCCTGACACCAATCCGGTGTCCGGAAGGCCGTTGCTTGATATAGTCTGAACCTTGCGATCTAAAACAAAACGATAGGCGACATTCTCCTGCGTAATAAGTCACGTTAGTATTGGTCTCAAGAATGAGTTAAACGAAAAGGGCATTCTTACTTCGACAGATGAGGTAGAATTGGAAGCTTGCCCTGGCCCTGCCCAAAGTGTAGCCACTGGACGCACCGAAAGATCTGGTGCGCTAGAGATGGTAGCACCTGACATTATGCTGGAGACTGCCCAGGCAGTCAAGTGAGGTGAAGATGAGCCTTGAGTGAAGCAAGTAAATGGAGTGAAGCAAGTGGAAGAAGCACTGGAAGTTTAGATGGAGGAGACCAGTGAGAAAGGCGTGCGCATGGTACTTGAGAGACAGTAGTTGAAATGAAGGGGAAAAAAATCCCTCACGACAAAATGGCAACTACTACGATTTAAGAAAAGTCAGTGAAAGTCCTCATAACCGTAGTTTCCCCATTGCTAATTGAAGCTCTGCAGCGGAAGAATGCGAGAGTTAATCGGGACCGTCACAGGAATGTAAAGAAGGCTGATTCCAACCACGAGGCAAGAGGCAAAACGTCTTGTCTACAAGTCCCTTCAGTTTCAGATTTCGATGAAATCTCCGAGAACGAGACAAAATGGCCGAGCGTGGTCTATACCTCGCTTTGGGGATGACCGTTTGCGGGAGACGTTTGTGGAGATGATCGTCACAGGCATCTTTCCCATGTCCCAGTAGGCTTTCCATTTTGACCCTAAGTGAATTCGGCGAGATCAAGTTAAAAATAGGACATCTGAAATCCTCGTTTGCATTTCCTTAGATGGGTAATGATTTTGGGCGGTGGTCACTTGGAGATTCCTCCCTCAGAGCCCGATCGGAGTAGCCGCCGGGGTTCTCCGCAGGAATGTCAGAAGTATAAGGATGTGAAGCTGCGTATCAGTCTTCAACACTAGCCACATTTCACATTTTTGGGCATTAGATCATGTGTGAGACTTCAGTTTGTAGCGGTCAAGGCCAGAACAATCTTTTCAATGGCGTGAAGTGATCATCGAATCGCGTTATGGCCATGCCGGTGCCCACGTAGGACAAAGTCGAAGGGGTGCACGTGATGATAAAGATAATATCGTCATCACGTGCATCCATGCGCGGGTTGATCGACCGCCAGCGACCGCCAACCATTGTCACCTCTTGCAAGTCATAATTCATCCGTGATCGAGAGGATCTCTTGCTCTATATCTGCTTCAGCTCGTGATCAGGCACTTCGAGGGATAGTGAACCTCATTTGATTCTTCTTCGCTTTCAGTGACCAATGACAGCATGTGTCGGTCCAGTTCCATTCACATCTCCTAGGATTCTCTCTGTCGACCGATTTCTCTTTTTCTCTTTGGCGTATTAGTCATTTCATCTCTTCTTCCCTCGTCCGATCATCGGTCTGAACAAACAACATGCCCGCTGCATACAAAGGCAAGGGCAAAGGCCGCGATGCGCGCCAGTCGCGTAGCCGCAATACTACCCCATCCAGCGCTAGTGCTCCCGCTATCCCATCACTGCCCGTACAAAGCTACCTGGAGAACGATGTCACCAAGCACATTGATCAAGCTAGTTTGCAGTACTCCGATGTGTTGGACTTGGTGTCCGCGCAGAGCATTCCAGATTCGAAAACACTGGAGACCTTGGTGGAGCATCTCAAGAGTCTCAGTGACATGGCCGATAACCGGGGCGAAGTTTGCAACGCTGGAATGCGAGAGATGTCTCAAAAGCGCAAGGAAGTGGAAGACCAGGAGCTTGACCGCGAAGTCCAAAACCGTGCTAAGTTGAAGCGTGAAACGGAAGAGGATGACGATATTCATAAGGGCGGGAAGCTAAAGAAGCGGAAAGAGCGCGCAAGTGCAAAGGAGGAGAGACCATTAAATCATGGGGCCCACGAGGTAGCCCGCCAGGATGGAGCTGAGACTAAGGTTGAGGGAGGTACGAGATTCAACTTCCCACCCTTTGTTTTTACCGACCCATCTCCACAACTCTGACCTTCTTTCACTTTCCCCACTGTTTAACTTTCACTAATCATCCCCAGCGGCTTCTCCAGCATCGAAGAACTCTAAGAATGCGGTATCAGATGAAAGCTCTTCGCTTTCACCTCCATCGATGATGTCTCCCAACGGCACGACCACTGCTGGCGAAGGTCCTCCCCCGGCACCCCCGGGTCTGAGACCAGTGCTGATTCCCACCAACCCGAGCCCCAACCTGCCATTCCTCAAGTGCAAATCTTCGGCGAGAATCCGCTGAAATATGACGACCCGACCGTTTACAACATTCGAGATGTTCTTCCAGACATGACCGACGATGAAAAGAAAGAGATTTACAGCGTTGCCCGGTTCCCCAAGTCCGATCTTGCCCACATGGCTGCTGGTGTAGCTCCCGACAAGGACTTCAGCAACGCCAAACCTTCCAATCAAGTCAGCGCCAATACTTTCCAGACTTACATTGAGCCGTACGTTCGGCCGCTTACCGAGGAGGACATCGCTTGGTTAAAAGAACGGGTCAGTCAATCGCAATTATTTCCATACACCGCAAGCTCACATGTTACAGGGTGATCGCACTACTCCATTCATCATGCCCCGCCGCGGAAAGAAAAGCTATCGTCAGATTTGGGCCGAAGAGGATGGGGTTTCTTACGACTCGAGTCAGGATGACAAGGACCAGCTACCTCTGAATCAAGGCCGTGGCAGCATTGAGCAGCTGACCGATGATAAAACGGAAACGAACGAAGTCTCGGTTGGACCCCTTCTCAGCCGACTCTGCTCTCTCCTTCGTTACGAGCACCGTACCTTCCCCGAAGATACCAACCCAACTACAAACGGCGACACTTCTAGCGTGGGTGGCCTGGGTGGAGATGCAATGGACATCGACCAACCTAATGGTGATAAGGAGACCAAGAGCGAACCCAAACCCCTGCCTGCTGCCACTACCTTCCGCGACGCAGATCCAAACGACTTTAAGACATCGGTCGCAAAGCTGGATCACGCCCAGCTTGATGAACGCGCTAAAGCGGAACTGCGATACATAGGTTTCCTCGGTGCAGATGATAATCCGGACTATGACGCTCACTATGATGATGAGGTCGCTGAGCGACTCCGCCTACTCCAAAGCGAGCTCAAGAAACAAATCGTCACCAACAATGCGCGCAAAGCTCGCATCCTAAAGATTGCCCAAGAGCACATGGCCATGCTCGAGTTCACTACCATCCAAGACGACCTTGACTCCCAGGTCCAACAGGCCTATCTCAAGCGCACCCGTACTATGGGCAAGAGCAAGAAGGGCGCCCAGGCTAAACACCGACCTGGTGGTGCAGGTGGCGGCAGTCATGTCGCCGGTGCCGCGGGCGTTTCCCGTCCAGCTGTCGGAGACGCTGCTAAGATCGTCATGGACCGTCGTCGTCGCTGGAATGAAGCTTTCTTGCCTATATTTGAGGATATCAAGACCACTATTCCTTCCGAAGGAGAGTCCATCTTCGACCCAGAGGTCATGGCTGAGTACGAGAAGGCTGAGCTTGAGAACTGGGACGAGGAATAAATCCTCGCTTACTATCTCTCCTCCCTTACAGCCGGTCTTCGCTCTTGGCTGATCATCTTCTATGTCAATGCTGCTTGGCAGCTACCTCAAATCCCTTGTTTTGATAATTTTCCGCACGATACGATACGAATTGCATGATGGACTGGCGTGGCGTTAGCGGATACCTTTTTGTTCCCTGTTTCAATTCACAAGATGTGGAAATTCCGTCATGATTTGTCTGCGGATCTGAAGATACACTGGATCTTCCTACAGCATCATGTATCTACCTAGGTAGCTTGTTAGATATGACTACCTACCTATGTCCGCGTATTCTTATTTTTTTCTAGCTGTAACCTCGAGTTCCAAGCTTTGAATGAAACAAATTCTCCAATTATTTTATTCCCGGTAGCACTGGTGATATATCTACTTAAGTACTCCATACCATTTAAACGCCATAACCACCAAAATAGGGTATCGATGAAACATCAAATAACAAAAAAATGAAGCATCCCCAGCACCAATATCCCACCCAACTCACCTATGAAGAATCAACACCTCCCAAGGATACCTCTTCAACCTCGCCGTCAACTCCCTCTCACTCATTTCCAACTCCGTGCAAATCTGATCAAAACAATGCGTCCCATCAAGATACTTCCCAAGAACCTCATCCCCAATATCATCCTCCTCTTCCCAAAACGTCGACGGCGCACCACTCCCATTCCCGCCCCGACTCCCACTCATCAACGACCCCGTTCGCTCGCGACTAGACTCCCGCCTAGAAGCAACTGCCGAGATAGACGCTTCCTCCCCAACACTGGAAACAGCATACGGCGTATTCGACCCCGTTGTCGCGCGCGACGACTGCCCCGTCGGCGTGAATGATGACGACCGCGGGACCTGCGCCGGCTGACCCGTCGCAAAAGCGTATTTATGTACCCGGTACAGGAAACCTTTGATCACGCCGAAGGTGATGAATCGTCTGATGTCGATATTGGCTAGAGATCGGCTGTGTGCGGCGTACCATTGCTTCACGCTCTGGCCTTGTTTGAGACTTGCATAGAGCTCGACTAGCGCGACGCCATCGACGACTGCTGGTTTGTGGAGTGAGTTGGTTGGTTCTGTGGGGCTGGAAGGGGTTTCTTCGGCGCCGAGGAGGGGCCAGATTTCCTCGGCGTCGAAGCGGGATTCTTCCCGCGTTAGGCTGGGGGTCGGGCCCAGGAGAGAGCTTGAGAGTGGGGCTGTTCCGGTGCTGCTGTTTGTGCTGCCGTTGACGCTTGGGCTGGGTGCTAGGTTTGCTGGGAGGGGTGAAGAGGGACCAACTGTTGGGTGTGGTGCGAAGCGGAGGTTCACGTAACGGGCACATTCTAGTTGCATTGCCTCGTCGGAGCCTATTGTGTAGCTGAATTGAGCGGTTGGGGCGTAAATTGAGGAGAAGGAGAAGATATCAAGAATGAACAGGCAGCCGTAGTAAAGGAGATGGCGAAGGGCACGGCAGGTGAGGTTGAAGTCTGTATCTGCTAGAATGGAAATGATGCGGACGCTATTAACACCGTTGATGTGTGGTACAATCTGGTAATGGTCAACTTAGGTTCATAGTCATTTCGTAGTATCTTCGTTCACTCACCCTTTGCAAGGTCAAGTCCCAATTTTCATCCATAAAGGCCTGGTATCGCAACGTGAAGAGCGGGACTTGCCAGGCCTTGACAATCGGGGGAGAGGGGTATATCGGGAAAAGCTTGATGTTGAGAGTATTCAGCTCGTCTGTAGATGATTGTCAGCAGCGAAAATACGCCAAATAGGGTCCTCCGACATACCAATAGGAATCATGCACTCGCAATAATTGTTCAAGTCCTCCATCAACATCTCACAGAGACTGTACACCTTTCCCTCCCCGCTCTTTGAGAAATCGCGAGACAAGAAGCCATTCTGTTCTTCTAGTCCGTGCATGAGGTCTGCGAGCTTCTGTACCACGCTCTTATATGTGCTGAAATCGTCCTCCTCGGCGAGGACTATACAGAAGTTGAAGATAAATTCATTGCGATCGTAGCGCACTGACTTCATGCAAATTGGGTAGCCCAGGATACGATAGCCATTTGTGCAGACTTGTAGAAGGTTTCCGCAGAGCTCCTGGCGGGGAATCACGAAGAAGGAGACGTCTGAAAAGATGAGAAACGGTGGTTGTGAGGGCGCGGTAGGAGAGGGGACGATAGCTCCGTCAGGGACTTGATGAACGACCTTGGGTCCTACAAAGCAATATTTATTAGCAAATCGAGGGCTTGTCAAGCAATTCAAGGCCCTTACCCTCTATCGTATCGAACTTGCTGTAGAAGATTGCCTTGATCATGGTGGAAATGCGATTGAGTTGAAAGGAATGCGATTGTGAATATAAACCAAATAGATGAGCTCAATCTAAAGCATCTTAGTGCATTAAACAAGTCCCATCCGAAAACACAATGGCTGCAGCGGGGTACATGTTCGTGGACAAGCTGTTTGTGAATGGAGATCAACTGCGGAGCGGGGAGGTCGGAGCGGAGAGCTTATCGGGTGTTTGCTGGGTTTGCACCTCCTGCTTTATATTGGAGTATAGCACAGAGCACAATCATTGTCAAGCATAACTGATATTTCAAAGATATAATTCTCAAGTTAGGATAGCTTTTGCCATTTACTGCAAATCTCACAGTCGCCACATTATTGAATATGGATGTATGAATATCACCTGGGCACTCCCGGCAAGGCAAATGAAACAGAAAAAGAAAACAAGCGTGACGACAAGAATATGAGGGTATTAGAGTGAACGAGATAGGACACAACGAGATCTAAGTGTAAGCACGAGACTCTTCTGGGCAAGGCGGAAATAGAGTAATGGATATAAATGGAAGAAGAACAAAAGCAAGGAAAACCCCGAGAAGAAGGAGCCAGTCCACTTCAGACAATGCAAGAGAGGTAAGATGCGCCGTAAAAAATGCAAACACGAACCATAGCAGAACCTCAAGTATGAGTATGACAGTCGGGTAACGAGTATTCAGTCACTGGGCCGTGCCGGAGGCATGGCTGGAGCTAGAGGGGAGAGCTGGGCTTGCTGCCAGGATACTGTCTGGCACAGTGAACAAGGCCGCCCTGGTGATCACACGAGCCGCACCGCGACCCCGTGGAATTCGCACATTGTCGGCAACGAGAGTCAAGGGCTGGTTCGCACGGATAGCATGTACCATCTCGCCGAAACCGCCACGCTCTCCAGCCTCCTTTAGCCATTGTTCCCAGTCCTCGTCTAGCGGTACATCCGTGCCCTGGTCACGAGCGGCCATCGCAGCAAGAATCCGGGTGTTCAGGGCGACTCCGCAGCTCTCCATTTCCTCATCGCTGAATTCCTCTTCGATTTCATGCTCCTCGGCGGCGGAGCGGTAGCTGGAAGCACGAGAAGTCGCGCGGACAGTGCCATTGCTTTGGGTCTCGATGATGAGCTCATCTTCCTCTTCTGTCCCGCAGAAGTCGAAGTCGTCGTAATGGATCTCGATTGAGGGAGCGGGTTGGGGGGATGCCGGTCGGATGGAATGAGCTGTGGTGTCCCGCACACTGACCCCTTCTTCTGCCTCGTACCGCTGACGCGCAGACTTGGTGCCTTCCCACCGACAGAGATCTCCGATCTCTTCTGCTGTCAAACCAAGCTCGTCAAAGGTCCGGAACAGTCTGCGGTGCCATGGGAAACGACTCAGTCGCATGCGATGCGGTCCATACGAATAATCCAGCCCCGGGTATTGTGCTTCGATGCAGTCTAGCGAGCCGTAGAAAAGCGATGTTTCGACCCGGACTTCGGGAACGAGGTTTCGGGTGATATGAGCGGCAAACGACCCTGGCTCGTTTGTGCGAGGTCGAGGAAAGGTGGCGTTATACACGATCTGGGCCACGGATGGTTTACGCATGGTGAGAGCCGGGTTGGAGGAGAGGAGAAATCGAACGGAACAAGAGGTATTAAAGGAGCAAGGTCGTCCCAGACTCCTTGGAATGCGCAAATTCAGCACTCAGGATATCCAGGGTCCCCCTTGCCCTTGGTCAAATTCCCGTTGGTCTTCGGAGGTGTCTGGCAGTGGGGGACGCTAAAGGGCGCGTACTCAATATTTCCCATATAAACGGACTTCAACAAGCTACCTGGATCCCTAGATCATCCAGGTCAATGGATACAGAATATTAAGAAGAGATGGTCCCGATCAGATGCCCAGCTGACGTTTCGGCTCTTTGACCCTTGGGGAATTGAAGGTCTCACAGGCCGCCCATTGAAAATGCGAGCTAACTGCGACCTAAGTGCGACCTAGGTATGAGATAGGTGTGAGATAGGTGCAAAAGGGGTGGGAAAAAGCTAAGGAAAAAAAAAGAACAGATCTAGAACAGAAGGAAAGATTTAGGGAACTCTCCAGGGCTCCGCCTTATAAAGGTTGTAGTACCTAAGGTATGCGTTGGCATGGCCACTATGCACGGCCAGCTGTTAACACCGGGGCGAAGACCTTAGACGCCATTGTTTAGTATGTTCGCATATTACCCTGGTTCGTCAAATCATAATAGGGAGATTGTAGCCAATGAACGATTTTAACATCACGAACACGTTTTTCATGCTTTTTCATGCTTTTTCATGTCTTTCTATTGGCCTTTTTATTGGCCTTTTGGTGTACTCCCACGTCACGTGCGTACAACAGGCGTAACCAGGTCCAGCGCATCTTCAACTTGACATGAGTGACATGTACAACTACACCGTCTGACCTCAGCTCCCAGAAATTGCGATGTCGACCTTTGATGGCATCGTAGAAGGTAAGCCCCATCACTCTCACGTCATGTCCGTGCTAATCATCCAACAGAGTTCCCGGATATTCGCAGTGAGCCTCATCTATGAGTCCAAAACGGATTTACCCTGGCTAAAAGAAAAATGCAGTTGACTACTTTCGGAAATCCCCCGAGAAGCCTGCGCCATTAGCCTGTTTTCTCAGTCATGTGCATAGTGATCATCTCCAGGGCCTGGAGTCCTTTCGGGCACCGTTCATCTACTGCTCTCCGGCCACACGAGAAGTATGCCAATGTTTATGCTGCCCAGGGAATACCCAAATGATAATTAGACTGACCAATGTAGCTTCTCCTCCGTATTGAGAAATATCCCCACCGGATGAACTTTAATAAAGGTATTTTGGAGTCACGGCGGCTGCATTATAAGCATCTTGCAAAGCTTCTGGTTAGTATCATGTTTTAAACTATCTAGGTAGTGTTGAACAAACGCTCATCCAGCACAGCGCCCAATTCCCTTGAATAGCCCAACGGAGATTGAACTCACGCCCCGACGTCGTATCAGGGTGACATTGTTTGATGCCAATCATTGCACAGGGGCTGTGATGTTTCTGATTGAAGGCGATGGAAAGGTAATCATCTACACAGGTGACATCCGAGGTGACTTGATTGTAGCCAAACTTGCTTGAGCTGCTGGCTAATCTCCTCCAGCTGAGACGTGGTGGGTGAGTAGCTTGGTCCGTCATCCAATCTTGATACCATATACTCTGGGCCGGAAACGACTCGATAAGTTATATCTGGACACAACATTTGCAAGTGCGACAAATCCATTTCGCGAGTTCCCTTCCAAGGCGGAGGGACTGGCAGAGTTGCTAGCAAAAGTTCAGGCATATCCTGATGATACAGTCTTCTACTTCCGTGCATGGACCTTTGGCTACGAGGATGTATGGATTGCGCTCTCGGCAGCCTTGAACACCAAGGTGATGACTCCCACGCAACTCATATATACTATTTTCTAACGGTAACATCAGGTCCATGTGGATCGCTATCAGATGGGACTGTATCGGTCCTTGATCCAGACTCAGGGTAACAAAGGAGTTAGCGAAGCACCTGTTCTCTGTGGCTTTGAGCTGGGAAACAGAGCTATAACCGGCTGTCTGAGCAATAATATCTCAAATCGAGTTCATAGCTGTGAACCTGGAACATCATGCCCCACAGCTCGAGGAGCCAACACAGTCTACATCGTGCCGATCGTAAATCGCACAACGGGCGGTACAGAGATCCCCGAGATCGGTGCGGGTGGTGGAATTGGGGATCTGTACCAGACACATGAACTCGAGCTGCCAGATGAGTCGGCGCTGGCCGAGCTGGAAAAGCTGTGTTTCCAGCACATCCAGGACAAACAGACGCTGTCCCAGATGCGAGGTGCTTTACTGGATGCATTTCGGTCCAAAAAGAGAGCACTCTCACTTGATACATACGGTGTGAAGGATGAGGGCGAAATTCCGTTGAAAAACCTGGTGACTGCTCTAAGTCATGGCCCATCAGAGGTATCTGGCGGGTCCATCCCGGACCTACCTAACACGATAGTAAGCGTCACTGCAATTTCTTTCGCTGATCTTTTCTAACGGAATTATAGCGCTTTCCATATTCAAGACATTCCTCTTATTCCGAACTCTGTGAGCTTGTAGCGGCCTTTCGTCCCAAGGACATTCACCCTTGCACCGTGGATCCAAAAACTTGGAACGAAGATGTCTCGATCAATCGTTTATTTGGTCACCTTTGTTCAGGGCACAGCTTTTCACACGACACTCATATGCGCTCAACTGTAGCGAATGATGTTGACGATGAGGAAACTTTGCGGGCGAGAAAACGGCCCCGTTATGATATGGATATGGACCTTTCCACGCAGTCCACACAAGGAACCAGTAGCGGGGTTGAAGAATTCAGTCTCGGTGCCGCTGATGCAACTCAGAACCTTGATATAAAACAGGACGCCCCGAACCAATCCGAACAGGCGGCCAGAATCAAACGCAACGAAATCCGCCGAGCACACCGCTATCTCCAAGAACATGCAGAGCCTAGGCTCTTCCAATTGAATCCTATCCCATCTACGTGGCCAACAGAAGAAGAAGACAGGTTTGATCCAGCCAATGACGAAGGGAGAGAAGAGGTCACGCTCATCTCTGACCAACCAGATTCGAACTCTTCGGCTACAATATCCCGACTCAGATCCGCGCCAACCAGGTCGGCGATAACCATTGACCTAACTGGCGACGGAGCCGCATCTCCGTGTCCAATCATCCAACATGCAGACAGTCAACATACAGATCCACTCGCACTATCTATTTCCGAGTCAGCATTTGACTCCCCGGATCGGGAACCCGTAGTTGATGAACTACAAACCCCAGAGCAAGGACAAGACAGTATGAGTCGCTCGCGCCGGGCGCGTATTGCTGCTTACCTGGCTGCACGAGAAGATACCTACTCTGCGTGGACGGATGTTTCACTTGTGTCGGCTGGTGATAATCATGCTGAGGAGGAGATCGAGCTATAGACTTGGCCTTTCCTTGTTCACACTGGCAAGCAGATTGATCGATTCTTCTATTCTATTTCTTTTTCTAGTTTCACTATGATACCCCTTTATATGATCTTTTTATGAATTCGACGGTCTACTGCTTTCCCAATGAGACTATTTCTCAAAGCCTGAAGTTTAAGTTCGTCTTGAGTGCCCCTTGTCTTGATAGGTATGCGCCATGTCCTGGAAAGAGATCCAGGAGTCGAATCACTATGATAGGTATCAATGATATGTTCGATATCTGTATCTCGTATCGAGAGGAAAGAACCAAACATAACAATGGCCTTGCCAGGGAGTTGATCACGAATACAACATTTAACAAAGCCCTGGTGGGTTCCACAGGGGCATTGTATACACCTATCTCCTCTGTTCTTTGTATACTATCTACTACTTCCAAACTTAGAGATCCCCAAGCACAATGAAATGAAACATTCTAACAATGTTCCATATGTCTTCCGGTTCTTTCTTCTCACTGAGGTCTTTGTCTAAGGTCAGATCAACTCAATGAGATTGAAATACTTTAAAAGGCCCTGGCATCTCGGCCATTCCGAGGTATCATCCGCTTCGCAGTTGTTCACAATTCACCAACACATCCAGCTTCCTCCGCTATATTCTCGGCTTTGCCACTTAACCAGACAATTAATTCACTATCTCTAACCAGGTGAGTGACCAATCGCCTTCGTCTAACTCTACTCAGTTGTTTGTTACTAGAGGATCGTCAACCCCTTCCACCTACATCCACCATGGCGGGCACCCAGTCCTCAGAGACTCAGAGCCGTGGCCGAAAGCTCTTCGACGGTACTAAAGCTATCCTCAACTACCGCCGTGAGCGCGGCATCCTTGTAAACAACATGCGCCGGTACATCGCCATTCTACGACAGCAGCCCGTGGACAACTACCTCATCGAGGTCACCCTCAACGTCCAATCGCTGAAGATCCAAGCCGACAAGGTTAAGTGGGCGGCCGAGTTGGTCGCCATTGACGCTAAGGACTTGAACTATGTCCTCTCAAAGGAACCTGGGTACTTCACCCGCACTGTTCCCCGGCTCTGCGATGAATGCGGCCGTTCTACCAGCGAGATGTCAAGGACTCTCATGGACCATATTCACAATCCCGTCGCCAACACCGAGCACCACATCGCACTCGATCTAGAGCGTGCGTTGGCTAACCTAGGCTTCGCATAGATTGCCCATATCCCCGGGACCCCAGGTGTGGTCCCCCTCTAGCAACCCAGGTACGTTCTACCATATTCTTTTATATCAAGAGTTTATCGAGATTTTCAATACAGGCCTTTATACACTCATTCCCAATGCCCCAAATCAACCAAGACCGCGTCACAGCCTTCCGTCAAGCCCGAGATGACCTAGTCACCATCCTCGAGCAACAAGTAACCTCCTCTGCCACGACATCAACAGCCGTAACTACGTGATTCCCTGTCTCCATCTCCAAATCCCCCGACAATTCGACATCATCGCCAAGAAGTCAATGAAAATAGCCGTTGAGAGTCGCCACCACCCGTACATCCTCATCCATCAACCCGGCTACTACGAAACAACCGTCCCAATGCACTGCTCCGCTCTAAAGGCCCTATGTGCCCATCTTTCAAACAGACTCCGCGATAACCTTTGCACTGACGTCCCCATTGCCGTGGCTAAATCACTTGATCGGATTGTGACTAACTTGCCTTTTTAATCTAGGTCTTTTTTTGGAATACTAGTTCAGCTTTTCCGTATAGTTGATACTCCTTCCACATGTCCATCCCACGTCCTGGTCCGGTCTCAACCTTCAACCCCGAGCGCGAGGCTTTCATCTTTCCCTTGCAGACGCAGGCGAAGGAGCTAAAAGCAGACTCTCAAACTGCTGAGACAGTCGCTGCAAACCTGCATGAGCTTGTCGATGGCACCCATCGCATCAAGACCGCATCAATGGTTATGGCCCTTGACGCTCGTGAAAACCCGTATGTCCTGGGGAAGCCATACGGGTTCTACAGCTACAACGCGCCACCAATGTGTAACGACCCCGTCGCCTGTTTGCTCCATTAGGCGGATATCCTCATTCACACAGATGATCAGAGAACAGATGGGATTGTTGCACTTTCCATCGAGCGGGTGCTACCTTCCTTGGAGTTTTAGAATCGAAGAGAATTCTGGTTCCTGATTTCCAAATCCAGGTCGAGTAACATCGTAGATATGATGCATCTTTGTATATATTCGTAGGTTCCCTCTGGGAGGTTTCTAGAATACAGAAGCCCGAGTGGTCTAGTGGTATGGTGAGTTACAACTTAAAGCCCTAGTTTTTCGAGCACAACTAACATCTCTCAGATTCGCCCTTTGGGATATCCAAATCAGGAAGTTTTCTCTCCTGGGCGAGGCCCCGCGTTCGAATCGCGGCCCGGGCCCTTCTTTTTTTGGTTTTTGGGTTCTTCTTTGTTCAGTTGGTTAGGGTCTGTTGTGGATCGTGGCTTTGTTGTTGGATTGCCTGTTGTGCGCTTACCACTTGCCTGCTACTCCTACACTCCCGGAATTGTTTCATGGATATCATTACGCAAATCGAGAGGAAATACAAAAGTAGAAGTAAAAGAAGAAGGATCATCGCTTTCGTGGCATATGAAGAAACCTATCTCATGGAGAAACGAAACGAAGCGAAACGAAACCCAAGCCCGCTCGCTGTCAATCAACTCCGAAGAGCGATGAGGTATATAGGTGAGACCATGAGTATCAAAACAAAAGAAATGCTAAACAGACGATATACAAAACAAAAACCATAATACACAGACCTATAGCCTAGAAGACATAGTAAGCCTGGGTCAAAGGCAACTCCGAAGCCGGCTCCGCATCACAGAGCATCCCATCAGCCTCAACGGTATAACTCTCGGGGTCAACCTTCATCTTCGGCATAGTATCGTTGAATTTCATATCCTTCTTTCCAACCGACCGACAATTCTTCACAGCCTCAATCCGCTTCTTCAGGCCGTAGGTCTGCACAATCCCTGCATCAATAGAAGCCTGCGAAACAAACATGATAGATAAAGCCGGTACGCGGGCTCCAAACATCGGCCGCACGATCATCGGCTCGACGGTCGGGATGGAGGCGTTTGGATCGCCCATTTCCGCTACTACGATCATTCCGCTCTTTAGCACGGATACGGGCTTCGTGCCGAATGATGCGGCTTTCCACATCACTAGATCGGCGACCTTGCCGACCTCGACGGATCCAATGGCGTGTGCCATTCCCTGTGCAAGCGCTGGGTTGATCGTGTATTTGCTGATGTAGCGCTTCACGCGGAAGTTGTCCGCGCCGGTGTCGGCGTCGCTTTCGAGGGGTCCACGCTGCGTCTTGTTTTTGTGTGCGGTGTGCCAGGTGCGGAGGATTACTTCGCCGCAGCGGCCCATTGCTTGGGAGTCGGAGGACATCATGCTGATGGCGCCTAGGTCGTGGAGGACGTCTTCGGCGGCGATGGTCTCAGCGCGGATGCGGCTTTCGGCGAATGCCACGTCCTCGGGGATGTTCTTTGATAGATGGTGGCAGACCATTAGCATGTCGAGGTGTTCGTCGAGGGTGTTGAGGGTGAAGGGGCGGGTGGGGTTTGTGCTGCTAGGGAGTACGTTGGGGTGTTCGACGACGGAGATGATGTCTGGTGCGTGGCCGCCGCCAGCACCTTCGGTGTGGTAGGTGTGGATCGTGCGACCCTTGAAGGCTTCGATGGTTTGCTCGACGAAGCCAGATTCGTTCAGCGTGTCGGTGTGGATCATACATTGCACATCGTATTCATCGCACATCTCTAGGCAGTTGTCGATTGCTGCTGGGGTGGAACCCCAGTCTTCGTGGAGTTTGAGACCAGCTGCGCCGGCGAGGATCTGTTCTTCGATGCTCTTCTTTCCGCAGTCGTTGCCCTTTCCTGTTATGCCGATGTTGATCGGTAGACTATCGCAGGCTTGCATCATCTGGCGCAGGTGGTTAGGTCCAGGCGTACATGTTGTCGCATTGGAACCGGTACTGGGACCAGTGCCGCCGCCAAGGAAAGTGGTAATGCCCGAGGCCAGAGCTTCATCCACCTGTTGCGGGCAGATCAAGTGGATGTGTGTGTCGATACCACCGGCAGTAATGATTTTGTTCTCTCCAGCAATGACATCTGTAGAAGCTCCCACCACCAGATCAGGGTGCACGCCATCCATGACATCCGGGTTTCCAGCCTTGCCGATACCAGCAATGAGCCCATCCTTAATTCCAATATCGGCCTTATAGATGCCGGTCCAGTCGATAATCAACGCATTAGTGATAACAGTATCAACACACTCGGTATGAGACCGACCAGATGCCTGGCCCATTCCCTCCCGGAGTGTCTTGCCTCCGCCAAACGCACACTCATCTCCATAATTTGTCAGATCCTTCTCAACCTCAATCCACAAATCCGTCAGCCCAAGCCGCACCCGATCTCCAGTTGTGGGACCGAACATGCGCGAGTACGCCTCGCGCTCCATCGAGAACCCAGAAACAAGCACACTATCCGCCTGCGGCTCCGGCACATGCGCAAAGCCAGCGGTTTGTAGCTTGGTCACGATCTCGTCGGCACGGCTCATATCAACCGGACCATTCGCCAGCCAGTTTCCACCGCGAATAATGCGGTTTCCTCCGATCTCAACGAGTGTCACAGTCTTCGTATCCCCGGGCTCAAATCTGATCGATGTACCCGCGGGGATATCCAGTCTGAACCCATACGACTGCACACGATCGAAATGCAGCTGCGGGTTCGTCTCAACGAAATGATAATGCGATCCAACCTGAGATCCCAGTTAACACACTCTCCCCGCATTCACCATACACTGGCGCAGTATTGATGGGTTATACATACCTGGATCGGCCGATCGCCCTTACTCATAACCTTCAGCTTGATACGCCTGCGCCCAGTACTCAACTCCACACGCGCATGTTTAGCGGGAATGACCGCGCCAGGCATCTTCTCCGGTCTGAAGTCCTCCGGGTCTGGATCTGGGAATGCTTCGCGCGCAGGCACGGGCAGAAAACTGCCATACAGAGCGCGCTCGAGATCGCCCTCATCGCTACTGATCGGGTGGTGCACTGTCACCAGGTATGTACCGGAGATGAAAGTTCCCTCGACTTGGAGCTCAACGAGGGTTGCTAGGACGGAGGGGAGGACATGGCGGCGGCCGAGCAGGGTCTTGCCGATCGACATGAGATCGGCGACGGAGTAGTGGCCATCGCGAATTAGCTTGGTGTTGTTAGCTAGGGCTCAATTGGGTTCGGATGTTGTATATGGGGCGTACCTCGTGCAGCACTGAGGATATCAGGGCCTGGGGAGGGAGTACCTAGGTATTAGCGTTGCGTGTTCTATATCACCCCACATGCGAGAGGGAGATACATACCACAGCTTCGGCATGGTTGAGCCGCACTCCACGTGCTAGACGACGCTGTGCCAAGAATCCAAGTTGGGCGATGGTGAGCTTGTCGAGCTACAGGGATTGTTAGAGATTCGGATGCTTGGCCTCGGAGTGTGCGACTTACCTCCTTCGGAATAAGCTGCATGGCTCAGGTGGAACCCGAACCTGGCAGTGCTTGGCGTGCAGGATTTGGGTTTGTGAGGGGACAATGGCGCAGAAGTAAGTAAGCATGCAAGATCTACACCGTACTGCTCCGTGAGATCCAAAGAGGTCTAAAGAAAGTAGAGCAAGGAATGTGGGGATGCGCCATATTTCTAATTGCTTGATGCTGATAAGGATAAGAGATAGTGATAAGTATTGTGCCGATTGGATCGGCCGACGGAGCTGGCCGACATTAGTCAAGGCTTTGCTAACCGCTTGTCCAAGTCCTACTTCCATACATCGATGTCATGGACGCGTACCTCAATTATAAACATGTAGTAAATGCATACGTTATGCAGTCGTTTGGATTGCATAAGAGACGTGGAGTCGTGTGCATTCCAAGAAGGCCGATCAATCTCATCGGCCTGGTTCCTATTTGTCAACGCGGCGTGGAACTAACCTTAAGTGCGAGGATGTATAGCGCTTAGGGCTCGGTTTCGATTAAAATCAAATTTGCTGTCTGAGTATGTCCGATCTTGAACCATTCTCGACCCTGTCCATTACTGTATTGTGAGTCGCAATCGCAAGGTGAATTGAAGATATTCCTATGATCGAGGCTATTGGACTACCTCTACCATATAAATCTTGACAAAGCATACTAGAAGATATCTGTACTAAAGACGGCTGAACAGACGGCTGAAAAGTCTAATTGAAGATATTGGAAGGCCATAAACGCGGCGGAGTATCTGAAAGGCTTCATTTGGCCTATATATTCAGCTCCTCGGGACAGGGAAAGACGTCATTCTGTTCAGGAGCTAGTGACTATGATATGATCACCCGGGAGGTTGACCAGCCAGCAAAGAGCTGTTTCGGATCCTTGATTATCTTGCGAATATCAGATCGCTTGAGAAACGGGAGGACTGGATTTTTAAGAAGTTCCAAGATCGAGCTGGAATCGTTGTGAACTCTGCACTAGCTAAATCAACAAGTGGGTGATACGGACATCACCCCGACAAAAGCTCAGACTGAGAGATTACGGCAGCTCTCCCATCAGGAGTACGAGTGTCACCGTCCCCGAGGGTGATCGCCTACGCGAGCCCCACCAGCGATTTAAAGTGAGCGCAGCATATCATCAATGGATCAAAACTAAGAGGGAAGATTGACTTATCCTAGACTGCCGGCATAGTCAGCCTCGACAGAGTAAGCCACGGATTCGGATTCTAAGGTTCCTAGGAATTGCTCTGATCAAACGCCAAATAGGACGTACCGACAAACATGTATGGCATGTCTGCTTTGATGAAGAGTATTCCCACTTTGTGTCCTTAAATCTCGAGGAGAGATTATTGTTTTATTGAAGACGGCATTATGCAAGGACTCAATGCGGATTCCTCTTGCAGAGTTGCTTTTTTTCATGTACATATAGGTATTCCCATGTGTCTGTTACTGGTCCGTTTCGTCGGATAATATTACCCACAGGTACTTCTGCTCAAGGTTTGTTATCAGGGCTCGGGTGCTATTGCCCGGTATTTGCTTGACTTTATGCTATTTTTATCGTTGGAATAAGCGCTGAAGGTCGAAATATTAATGCCTGTACACCGTACACCGTACCTACTACGAAGCAAAAACTTTTGCCGGAAAAATTGCCCGTAGGCGGCTCTAGAAAAGCCTCCATCTGTGATTTACTTTAAATTTGGTTCAATTTGGTTAGACACCGTTCAATTCAGTTAGTCTGCTCTGATCTCTGGTTCTGAACGGAAGAAGCGGTTGACCCCGCATGTTTATCTTGGAACTATACAACCTTGGCACCACAGTCCCTTTCCGTCCTCTTTCACTTGTATTCCCAACCACATGTCGTGATCCGTTTCATTTTACTAAGTCAAGCCACATAGATACAGTTTTTTGACCCCCCCAAACGCCGCTGAAAAAGGCAAACCGGGGGAAAAGGGGGTTACACATCCAGTCCAGCAGACCGAAACCATCTCATCTGACACTCGAGTCAAGCAAATCAGAATTCAGAATTCAGAAATTAGAAAAAAAGCACAGGCGAGTCAAAATTACAACTCGCTCTTGCGCTTCTTGCCCTTGCGCTTGTTATCAGCGGGGGTCTTCTCCTTGCTGGCAGAAACGGGCTCCGCTGCCTTACGGCCCCGCTTGACAGGCGACTTGGCGGGAGTCTCGGTCTCCTTGGGCTTGGCGTCGCTGCGACGGCGCTTAGCGTTGCTGCGGGGTGGGGTCTTCTCTCGCACGGGAGAGGGGGGCTGCGACTCCTCGGATGAGGATTCGGTGGACTCCTCATCGGCAGACTCCTCGACTTCCTCGGCCTCTTCGGCCTCGGCACCGGCAAAGTCCTGCTGCAACTGGCTGGCGGCGGGATCCTCGTGCTCCTCGTCGGCCTTGGGGCCGGCCTTGTAGGCGGCCATGTCACGCTTGTACTGGTCGTAGTTGGTGGCGTACATCTTCTTCCAGATCTATGATGCGTTAGCCATACAGCCTCTACCAAGGGGGTGGTTGAACACGGCTAATACATACCTCTTTCTCAACATCCTCCATGCTCTGCCAGCGGCGGGTGCCCTCGTCGGCAACATCCTTGGGGCGTGCATCATTGCCCAGATCCTCGGCGATCTTGCTGCGGTTGTGCTGCATGTACAGGAAGTAAGGGGTGAGGGCACGCTTGGGGGCATTGGGGTCCACGGGAGCACGCTTGCGCTTCTTGGGACCACCGGCCTCGGACTTGGCACCGGGGCTGCCGGCACGGAAAGGAATATCATGGGCAGTGAATCCGGAGGGACCAGCGGGGAGTTCAATGGTAGCATCACGGCCCTCGGTGATGTTGTTCACATGCTGGATGTAGGCCTTGCCCAGATCGGCGATGTAGGATTGCACCTCCATCAGACGCATGACGATCTATGGAGCATTGTTAGCACTCGTTGAAACATGGTAATGTTGGGTGAGTGGTTCGGCACGGATGTGTGCATGGATTAGGGCAAGGAGAAGGGCAGTAAGATAGTGCGTAATTGGACAAAAAAGTGCGCGATATCACGATGAACCCCTAAATCGAAAAGGGGAGGGGCATAGGGGGGATTTTTTTGTTCTTTCTTGCATTTGAAGCTTGCCAACATAATACAGAAGTATACGAAGGGGCAGTTCAAGCTCCCAGAGCTTGCTAGGTAGCTCTATAGATCGGCCAACGCGACGCGTAGCTGGCGCGCAGTGGGGATTGCGCACAAGAAAACAAAGAAAAAGAACCGAAACAAAGAAAACGCGAAATTCCAAAGTTGAAGAAAAGAGGTGGAATTTACCAAATCACCAGCGCGTCTGAGCTCATCCTTGTTGACCTGGACGGTCGTCTCATCTTGGGTAGGGGACATTGTTATGAAGCCGAATGTTTGGGTGAAGAAGAATTTTTTGGGGGGGGAAGAGGACGGGTGGGTGAAGGCCGAAAGGGAGGGGGAGGGTACCCACTAAATAGCAACACGCGCCCCCGAAGTCCCGGGCATTTCTTCTCTCGCTGCTTTAGGCTTAGGAGGCCCTGCTTGTCATGCGACACTCCGAGATACGGACAAGTCCTTCATGGTCTTTGATTTGATCAAAAGTTAGGTATAAGCCTAGCTTCATCATCTCTCTTTCCCAAAAAAAATTATCGCCACAAACATCTCTTGAGGGGGGAATAATGAATACGTAAGGCGTCTTGTGGATGACGGGCTCTAAGGGGGGCTACCTCCCCGGGGGAACCCATCTATTTGGTGGACGAGTACCTCCATGTACGGAGTAGGCATACCTAGAAACTACTCATCAGGTTTATTTTTTATTTTTATTTTAGCTAGTCATTCTTGAGCATTTTCCCAGGTATGTGATATATCGATTCGGTCGCAGACCTGTCTTTTTACTCTCGTTGCTCGTAAGATCAAGCTCAGACATGTCCAGGCAATGCTTCCCCCGCCGAGAGCCCAACGTCAGGGTCGCCCAAGCCCTACGGAGGGGTTCGGCTGTCCACAAGATGGTAGTACGAACACCTGGTCGAACTTCCTAATTCAATTATCATTGAGACTCTCGGTGGACCGTTTTCTTATCAGTACCATGATCTTAGCTATGTACTTCAGTACTTATGACGCCTGGCGCTTAGGCTGGTCGCGCCAGCTCGATTCAATGCATCTGATGGCTACTTAGGTCTGTGGCAATAAATATGAACTCCAGTCATGTCTTGTCGGTCACTCTCAGACCCCTGCATAAGCTAGTTTGAAGCCTGTTTCATGCGGGGTATCAACGTCGTATTTAAAGCTGACCTGCACATATATATTCGATTTCCTCCCCACCGGCAGGGTCGCCAGTCTGCTTTCTTATAACTTTACTGCTCTTTTTACTACCGCGAATGCCAGAATTAGACAAAAGTGCCAGAAACTGCAGAATATAAGCCTGGAGGAAAATGGACTTCTTTAATAGGACGATGCGCAAAGCCACCCAGTACGGCAACACGCTGAAAACAAGATGCACCAATATACATGGCTCTCCTGCCGCACATCCAACTAACCAAATATTCTACAATAATCTAGAACTTGAAGACCTGCTCCTTGCTGTAACCAAGATCCTTTAGGATACCAGTGAGCTCACCCTGGTCCTTGGGGCTGACCTTGCCACCGGAGATGGCCTTGTACATGGGAGGAGGACCGCAGATGAAGACCTTGATGTTCTCCTCCTTGGGCTCGGGCAGGACAGTCTTCAGGAGCTCCTTAGTAATGAAGCCCTTGCCACCAGTCCACTCCGCAGAGGGCTTGTCCAGAACGTAGAAGGCACGGAAGCGCTGGGGGTAGGTGTTCTCCAGCTCGTTCAGCTCCTTCCTCAGAAGGATGTCTTCCTCAGTGACGTTGCCGAAGACCAGAGTCACCTTGGTCTTGTCATCGGGGTTCTTGAAGATCTCACGGGCGAGCTGGTACATCGGGGTGATACCGGTGCCACCGGCGATCAGGCAGACGTGGTTGTGCTTGTTGGCCTCCCAGGGGTACTTGACAATGGGACCCTTGAACGACAGGCGCTGGTCGACGCTCATAGAGTGGAGGTGCTCAGACATGGGGCCACCGGGGTAGACCTTGACGACGAGCTCAAGGTAGCCGGGGATATCTGCGCGATGTTAGCGAACGAAGCTTGCATCATGATCGATACTGATCTTACCCTCGTCACTGGTGGGGGTGTAGGGACGGAGAATGTTCTTCTCAGCACCCTCGGGCTTGAAACGGGTCAACAGAGCGGCTATCTCTTGTTAGTGATCGAATGCAACAAGCTCAAGACCGAGTCACTTACAGGCGACAGGAAGACCGGAGACAGCTTCCTTGTCATCGTACTCGAAGCGAAGACGCTTGGTGTTGGCGCTCAGGTCTTCAATCTTGGCCAGCTTGAGGTCCACCCAACCCTCGCCATTGAAAACCTTGGGGCGGTCCTTGGGCTCGGCAACGGCGCTGTTGGTGTAGCGGTAGACACCAGCGCCGAGACCGGCAAGACCAACACCGACATAGATGGGTGCCAAGTTGGCCTTCTTGGGAGCGGCCTCCGAAGAGTACTTGCGGAAGCTCTTGATTGACCTTTAGTATGCCGAGTCAGATCAAGGATTGGCTATCGCGACTTACCTGCTTCAGAGGTTGCGCGCAACGGATATATTGACGGGCAAACATGATTGCAATGGATTGGGACAAATGGGGGGAAGGGAGATGAGAATTCTGGGAATTGAGGGCTCTGGGGCCCCGGAGCCCGGAGCCCGAGAAATCAGATTACATATGCGGAAAGCGGACAGCTCCCTCCCGACCTGATTTCGCATGACGCAATAATAGGTACCTGGTTTACCATCGCTATGATCAGAACAACGTTGTCAATGACTATATGTACATATTATCGAAGTTACCATATTCTAGATGTTTCGAGTTTACGTAGTTCTATAAACAGGCCAATCCACAGCCTTGCCCTGCAACTACAAAGGAGCCGGTAGAATTGTTGCCTGATCTACAAGGCAGAAAGGCTTGGTCCTGATCTCGGCTGCGGCTGAGGAGCCCACATCTATGTTGTGCACGGGTGTGTACGGAGTAGTGCTTACTCCATCGGAGTTGTGTTTGTGATCTTCGGAGTATGGATTTAACTCTTAAGCCGATAAGAATGGCTACAATTCTATACGAACATAGGTTCGGATACAACAACGACCATGGATACAGTAGGCAATTGGTGGCGATTATATCGATCACCTCAATGGAGGATTTGAAAAGGAATCGGAAGGCCAAATTGAAATCGCCCAGGTAGCCGGGTGGAAAGTATCTTAGGTATGATGACAGAGCATCAACTAGACCGGATTGTTCTGTACAGCGACCATATGTACGCCCGTATCCTACTCAGAAGTCGAATGATTCAAGAAACCCGATGATTTTTTTTCAAAATAACCTAGAAATGCCACCATACGGGACTAGCGACATCCAACCATCTCTCCCTCGGACGGGGTAGTGGTTTCCACACGGCCATCTTTCATGCATGCTATGGCCATAAACAGTCATTCATCCACACACTCCAGACCCAACACCCAGAACGTCACATTTAAGCAAAGGTAGAGGGGCGAGAGTGAGCGAAGATCTTCTTGCCGACCTTGCCACCGGCGCGGTGGGGCAGAGGGAACTTGAGATCCTTCTGGAGGAGCTGCTTGATGTAGGGGCGGCGGATGCTGTCGTTGTTCTCGATCTCAACAACCTTGAGGATCTGTAGGGAAAAAGAAAAACAATTAGAATATTGCATCAGTCGAAAAGTTGAGCAAAGTAACGTACGTGGATGGAGCCGAAACGGGAGCGGTGACGGGCGGCCATGTCCTGGTAGAGAGCCTCAACAGCGTCGGTGCGGCTCATCTCACGGAACTCCTTGTACATGTTGTGGGTACCGGAGCGCGAGTCGTAGCGGATCCAGATACCGAAGTTCTTGACCTTGAGAGGGGCGCTTCTCCGCGATCTAAAACACCGGAAATCAGCACCATTCCATATCCACGAATATCCAGTCCCAACATACCACGTTCAGGGAAACGATCTCGCCGTTAGACTTCTTGAGCTTACGGAGCTGGGCCATGAAGTACCAGAAACGCGACTTGGCCACAACGGTGTTGGGCGCAAAGATGCGCATGCGGTACAGCTTGGGCGTGGGGTTCGCCTCGTTGGGCAGGTGACGCCCGATGACCTGGTACTCAGTAAGACGCCCTGGGAATCCGTCAGCCATAGTTCGTGGGAATATTTCTCAATTGCCCAGATCATCAATTCGAGAGATAAAACGGTGCGCGATGTGTATTGGCGAGAATTCGAGATGACCAATCGTGATTTGGGGAAGGTTGAAAATTTCGAGATCCGATCATGTGTAGACTTGGCTGACAGGCATTTGGCGTTCCTTTACGATTGATTCCAAGCGATGTTGATCTCCCATTGCGTCCTCCTCTTCTGTGATTGTCTCATGTCGATATCGTATGGCCTTCGCGTCTCGAATTTGCTTCAATTGTATGCGCGCACCGTTGTCTCGAAAAATGTACTGGGCTGTCGGAAAGGGAATAAAAATCACTCACCCATCTGGAAGAGTTCAATGTTAGTATAATCTCCGAGAAACCCGAATAGGAGGTACTCACTGTGATTGTCGCTGTGGTGGATGAGTCGTTAGTGTGCCGTCGATGGAAAATGAGAATTGTGAGGTTCCAATTGTGCTTAGGGTTGCCGCCCTGCCCTAAGCGAGTGGAGGCCACTAGTCCGCTTCTGTTAGTCAGCTGCGCCACATCATCTCCGCCACCTCCCACCAGCCACATCGCCTCGCCTTCCCCACATGTCTTCTCCAAAAGTATGGTGTTGTGCACCTATTTGCGTCTTGGTCGGGTCGGATCTTAACCTACCGTTGCCCCACCTTGATTGCTGTGATCGCGTTAACCACCGCTCAACCCCTAGGCTCTTTCGGCAGACAGCAGCTCACCATGTGTTCTATCGCGACCGCGTTCAAGGACGCCTACGTCAACGGGTCTGGCCCGGATTTAGCCGCCGTGCTCACTCCGATCGCGTCGCCCGAGAATCCTAATCGTCTACGCTCGTTTTACCAATTCTCGAACGCCGAATACATCTCTAAAGATCTGAGCTATGCTCTCTTCCACGGCAAGAGTCTGAAACTGCCAAAGGCCGAGCAAACTGCCTGGGTCGACCTCTTTGTTGTTTACTGGGAAGCTATAGGCGAAATACTCCAATGTGAAGATCGCCAACCGGGTGCCAGCGTTGTCAAGGTTTTCAACGCCTGGAAAAAGGTTGCCAATGCTCTCATCAGGGGGTACTCAGGCTCTGCCTGCATCCCAGCGTGGACACTGCCGTGTCTGTACACAGTTGGGAAGTACTTGCGTACCTTTGCGATCAATGCCGATGTTGAAGTGTTGTCTCGAGGTTCTGGTGGATTCGGACTCCAGGAAGATATCTCGGCTGATGTTGAGAAGAATGCGAACTTGGAAGAGGCTGCTCGGGTCATCAATCGGATGTTTACTCTGTGTCTGAGCGATAGGTAAGGAGATGGTTGGACTTTGAATTGTTCTATTACTGACTAGACCCAGAGCACCTCTTGAAGAATCTCGCAAGTGGGGTATCTACAATATGACCAACCTCCTATTCAAGACATATTTCAAGGTATGAATGATTTATCGCAATGCTACTAGCAAGTGGCTAACCTTTGTTCTCAGCTCAATTCCGTCGGCCTCACAAAAAACCTACTCCGTGCCATCAAAGCCTCATCGGCTGATCTCCCTCCTCCCGAAGTTTTCCCCAAATCCCATATTGTCACATTCGAATATTACGTTGGAGTTATCGACTTCTTGGAAGAAAAGTACAAAGAGGTATCTCCAATAAGCCGTCTTCCGTGGATAATACTGAAACTGATTATTTGCGCTCCAGGCCGAGGAGCACCTGACGTGGGCTTGGAAGAATTGCCATCGAGATGCAGTCAAGAATCGAGAGTCAGTAGCCCACTAGCTACGGACTGGTCTCCACTAACTATTAGCAGATTGATTCTCACCTATCTTATTCCTTGCCACCTCGTGACTACACACACCCTTCCTAGCAAGAAACTTCTCGCGCCATTCCCAAAACTCGAGGGCCTTTTCCGGTCTCTTTCAAACTGCATTCGGAAGGGCGACTTGGTTGGATTCGACCAAGCTATGTCTGCCGGCGAGGAAGAGTTTGTCAAGAGACGTATCTATCTGCCGTTGGAACGTGGGCGTGACATTGCTCTGCGCAACCTGTTCCGTAAAGTTTTCCTCGCCGGTGGCTTTGATGAACCCAAAGATGGTCAGGCTCCAATTCGACGAACTCGTGTCCATGTGAATGAATTTGCAGCCGCTCTTCGCATGGGCTCTTCCGCCGATCGATCGCGCGTCGATATTGATGAGGTGGAGTGTTTGCTTTCCAATCTTATTTACAAGGTAGGCTGGCAAGGGCAGGAAATTTAGAGATTTTTGCTGACGAGCTTTCTGCTCCAGGGACTTATGAAAGGATACATTGCCCGTGAACGAGGCATCGTCGTGTTGAGCAAGGGAGGTAGTGCTTTCCCAGGCACAGGAGTCTAAAAAAGCCCCAATGGGGCTGTACTTTAACGTGCTTAGACCTCTCTTATCGTTACATGCCCATCGACCACCTCGATCATCAGATAAATCCCTAAAGGTGTCAGGTATGCATCCGCCTTTGACTGATATCCCACGCACAGCTACACTGTTTGATACGCCACGATACCTGGTCAGGCAAATCAATTGCCTGAGAAGTTTGGCTTGCCATGGTACTGATCCCAAACCAGCAACATGATCCCCGGTCAATTAATGGATTTCAGTGCCGGTTACATCGATAGGATCGAGTCCACACTTGCCCAATCCATGAGATAAATGCAAAGAGACAGCTGGGACTTAGCAAATCCTATTATTACGAATTTATGAATCAATTGCCTTCAGAAATTAAAGAATTCAAACGTGCACTCCTTTATCCAGATATAGAAACATAGTAGTACACGGGTATAGAAACACTGCCAGCAGCGGTATAGAATAAACACCGCGCAATTAGCCAAACCCCAATAACCAATTTACCAGCAAAAACCAGAATCCGAACCAGCCCAACCCGACCCTTCCCATACCAAGGATATCCTAACACTGAGTCGTAGCAGCCGAACTACTAACCGACTCGTCAGGAACATAATCGTCCTATACGAAGTCAGCACGACAGCCCAACCTTTCAAACCAAACAGAAACTCACCATATGATTACACAAAGCAACAAATAGATCGAAAAACATCTTCCCTCCACGCTCCATTTCCGCCTGCATAGTCCCACTGCGCATAAACGTCCCCCGAGACCGCACAATCAGCGCCAGGTAATGCGCCCGCAGCTTCGACTCCGTGTCCGGCGTATTGGCATATGCGAACCGCGCACTCGCCAAGATAGTGCTGCACGGGATCCCGGTGTGGAGGCCCTGTTTGCGCAGTGCGAGACGTTGCAGGTGCGGGAGGTTATATTTCTCTGCTGCGCAGCTGTACAGTTTGGTTAGTATTATATCTTCTGCGTCGGATCAAGACAAGAGAGGGAGAGGCTGGGTTGGACGATATGGTTACATACTAGATGGCCGTATCACGCAATATCACACCCCTCGCGCGATGGTGGTATACCGTCGCCGTCGCTTGTCCTAGTTCCCCGCTGGCGCTGGCATTTGTATCTGCGTCCTCGAGCTCCCATGTCTGTTTTCGGCTGTTGTGGCGTAGCCGCGGGTAATAGTCGCCCTTGTAGAGGTACTCGAGCACGCAGGATAGGACCTCGGCTTGCTCGGAGGGGAGTTCAATGCGCTTGCCGGGTGGCTGGAGGGGTGGTCTTGGGCGGGGTGCTGTCGGACTTGGTGTCTGAGCTGCGCAGTGGGCTGCGAAGAATGGTGATGCGCAGAGGACGGCTTCGTGGGCGGCGAAAAGACGTTTCTCGGGCCCAACGCGGAGCATTACTATCGGACTGCTCGAGGGGGAGCTATGTGGATGGTGGGATCAGCGCTTGGATATGAAATTGATTCTTATGGGAATGTTGCTTGGTGGAATTGATGCGTATATGTGGACATGATATGGAGATGGACTTACGTTACGTCTGGAGGTTTGTCGAATTTGCGGCACTCTTCGGGACGCCGAGTCTTACTGCCAATAGAACCTGAGCCGGAGCCGGAGCTGTCTCGCTCTTTGTCCTTGGTTCCTCGGTCTCTGGTTCTCTCACGAGTTCTCTCCCGAGGAACCCTGCGAGATTGGAGAGTGAAGGCTGAAGCCTTCGTCGCGCGATACACGCCCGGTGTAGGAGTCTCTGGCATTCGTTTGGATAACATGCTCGCTATTATATTATAGTCTGGATAGATGACGGGTTTGGGGGGAATACAGAAACAGCGATGGATGGATTTCGAAGGGGGGTAGATGGGTCGCTATTTATAAAAGACAGCCTGCAAACTTCCGTTTGATACAAGTCACATCGGACCCTGTGGAGAACACAGCACGCCGGACGGTTTGTACCTGTACGAATGATCTACTGGATAGCTCCAATTAGCCTGTGTAGAGAAGCTGGGCCCAGTGAAAGACGCGTCACAACCAGTTTTGAGCGCGTAAAGGGGTTTTTCGAGTCGCCAAATGGGCGCGTGGTCACGGGCCTCGAACGAGCCAATCAGAAGTCGTGATTGGGACAAAGGAAATTGCGCTTTCCCATTTAGGAAACAGATGTGGACTGAAGTGGATTATTGCCTCGGAACTGAGGCAGATTCTGTCGCTCTCCCTTTGTCTTTGTTGGACTCGATACGGTTGTCGAGCTACGGGATTGGGCTTACCGGTGTCGTAGATTATTATCCGGTACTACTTTGAAATGGGTATGTTGTTTTTCGGTGTCAAGTTTGAACTAAATTGCACTGTACCGTACAGCTTGAATGGACCTGCATTACAATGCTGCAGCAGATGGACCCCTGAACGCCGACGCTAAACGCCTTGACAAGACCCAGCGTTCCCGAAATCCTCCGTCCCATCGCCGTGTGCCATGAAAAGAAAACAACAAGAGATAAGAGCATTGAGAGAGACAGAGGAAGAGGGGAGATACCTACCTTACAGGAACACTTTCTTAGCTTCCTTAGGGTGGCTCTCGCTAGGACAATATGGGCATTTGAACCGGTTCCCTTTACCCAGACGCTTCAATGATTCTTGTGCAATGACATGTCCACACGGCATCATCATCGGCGGGTTATCATCAGTGGCCTGCTCTTTGGATACTGGGCAGACGAAGATAGAATGGAAGAGGTATTGAGGAGGGAGCGGGATTTCGACCTGATGAATGCCCGTGTTAGTTTTATATGTAATCTGCAATCAAGTTTGCAAAGATAATAATGGTTTCCTTACCGGTAGCTCGTTTTCGGACGTCCACTCCGTTCGCTTCGACTTCATGATCGTCTGTAGCTTCAACAGCGTCGGCAAAGCGATTGCACCCGCCGTAGCAGCAATATAAAGCGGCGAATCTGCCGATAGACCCAGTAAAGAACAGAACTCGCGAGTGAAAAAGTGGGCTACGTCATCCCAGGCTGAGCTGTTATTAAAAAGCGCAGCGTATGGCGAGCCACCAAGATTGGATGAGTACGCCATTGCACCCACCAGCTGCTGAACCTCTCGCAGGTATCGTGGCACAAAAACGTGGAACTCCTGCCGCGCATACTGGAGCGCAGCTAGCCATCCGTTTCCGGTTCCCAGATTGTTTGCCCCACCATGATAAAGCCATACATACTGTAGGCGACATAGCTCGAATTCGAGGTTACTTCCTCGAGCTTCAAGTGCCTCACGGTTCTCCCTCGACCACTCGATCGCAGGAAGTAGATTCCTGTTCTCTTGGAGCTGTTGTAGTATGTAGTACATCGAGGCAAATTGTTTCCGAATCTCGGTCGAAGGGACTTCGTCGATGTCAGGCAGGTTTGCGGGTATGTTGTTCCCGGTCTGGGGGACCGGATTGATTGCTTTTTGCTCGGCGATCTCGGAGAGAAAGGTAGCCGCCACGCCGAACTGGCCTTCGCGGAGCAGATGCATAGCGATGGCGCGGTTGATCATGTTCTCATGTGCGGAAAGGCCATCATCGTCGGTACTAGGTAGTGGTCGATCTTTAAAAAGCTATTTGAGGTGTTAGCTCTTGCTTTCTGACAACGAATAGACGATCAGGACTCCGAATACCTTGTCTAGAGACTTGGTATACTTGTTCAGGCCACTGTGAGTCTCTTTCAAGCTATCATTGATAGAATCGAAGGAAGATTTGACCGGCTTTTGAAGCTTGGCTAAAGTGACAGCAGCAGAGGTTGGGTCTATTGGGGTAAAATCGGGGTCGTTAGTTGAGTAATCTCGCGGGGAAGGTCTACGGGTCACCAACCAGCAGCTATGGCATCGCGAGCAGACTGCAATAAGTCAATCGTAGCCTGTACATTTTTTATGCCCAGTGAAGCCTCAGTTTTCTTGAGAAGTCGATCGTGTTCTTTCTGGACTAATTCCATGGTGGTTGGGTCTTGGGTCATAAGCTTGGAGATGAAGAGGTTACCGCAGCTGTCCGAGTTGCGCCATGTGGAGAACTTGAGATAAGAGGTCTTTATCGGACAACTTCGATAGCTTCGGGACGATTTATATAGCCACTGCTGAAGATGAGTGCAGTATAACGACGCCGGAGACAAATGAGAGGCGAATAATGATAATGAGAACCAGACAAGCTGTTCCGGTGATATTGCACGTGATGAGGCCCCTCCATCCTCCATCCGGGGCTCGATAGCATGTCGTGATTGGAGGTTACCTACCTACCTATGTATTTCCAACCGCGGAATAGATAGGGAGAATCAGGTATACAACAGGGGAATTAGTATCCAAAATGGCTTCCCCGACAGGTAGGCCGAGGGACATCAACATCTAAACCAGCGATATTTTCGCTGGTAATGCAGAGCACACATCTACGGTAGTGGTTACTAGGTACCTAGTGACTATGGTACAAAATCTCCAGGACCCATGGAGAAGGATCAACGGTATAACTCATGTGAGCTGATTATCGATCAAGCATCCCACATACAGATATCTAGGTACGTAGTACTATAGTCAACTGGCGTGAGGTCAGTCAACCGGCATACCAGGTACATACATGTATACCTATGTACATAGGTATCGTGGTAAGGCGGTGTACGGCCCCCGGGGGCAAAGATTGGGCAGTAAGGGGGCCGGTTCGGCCCGGATTAACCCTGATCCGGGCTCGTCACCTACCGGGGCTACCGAGTTGCCATAAGCCCCTTGGCGAATATAAATACCGTCCATATCCCCCCACCCTTCCTCTTCTTCTTTTTCTTCTCCATCCTAGTGCAAGGGTTTTACACGTATCAGTGAGGAGAAATCCGAGATCGTGTTTTTGCTAGTTGAAAACTACCACCTTGACTGCTTCAAGTGTTCCCTAGGGAACGCTTGGGAATTTTTGAAACAATTCTTCAACTCCTTGACTTGGTCATCGAGTTTGGTGCCTTGATGGGAGTCCTTTTGTACACCCTCATTACCTTGAGTCTTTTCACTACTGGTTACCCATGTCGGTGGCCCTTAGAGAAGAGATCTAAATTGTAAACCTTCTTCTGTCGACGTGTCGCGTCTCGTCAACATGGACCCCACCATTAGTCCCCGTCCCCGTCCTCGTCCCATGTGTATATATCCCCTCGCCCCTCCCCCCGGGATCCTCAAGCCCTGTTTGGTTTATCACCACTTGCTCGAATCTTGTCTTGTCTATCGTTGAAGCTCCATTATAATACATTTCTATCCCTTATCAAAACCGACCGACAATCCCTTTGCCTCATTTCGGTATTCACGTCGCACTCCCACTCCAAACCATGATCGCCTTCCAATACTTTTTACTGGCCAAAGAATTATCATAGGTCCCCAGGCTGGCTGCAGCTGCTCCACTGTCACGTAATATGTACCACACGCAATAAATTTTGGAGATTTAGGGGCCACTAGCCATGGCCAGACCCAAAAGCCCGAAAAACGGACACTCACGCCCGATGTGACAATACAAACAGCTTCCTCCCTGACTTCACACAACATGATGCTTCCAGAAAATGAATGCTAGTGCCTAGCCAGCCGCATCGCATAATGGATATGAGCCGGTGATAGTCGGTCAATCAGCCTCACATTCTTATCCCAATGTTCAGTCAAGGGGCATCTCTTTTTATGTCATGGGATTACACCACTGATGCACCTATCCCTAGCAATCTCCTCCTTTCTCTTGTGGTCGACTAGGTACATTTCCTACGGGGACGCGCCACTCAAACAGATATGGACTACGAAGATGGTCCCGCACGCTATTGAGGCGACATCTCCGACAAGCCGACTACTCCATACTCGTGCCGACATGATTCTTGCCACCCTCGAGTAACGACTCCACCCCGCTTTGACATACATACATACCTACAGAAGAGCCTCACAGGAATAACCCGGGTCTCCTTGCTTGTGCTCGTGTTTGTGTGCGTGTGGGTTGTCTTACATTTCTCATATCGGCATCCTTGCTATCTTGGAGTTGTCGGGTCCTCTCAAAGTGCCCATGAGAGTGACTGTGCAAGTCATGGTGGACAGCTACATGCACAGAGGACGGAGTATGGAGTACAGAGTAGACGCTGAGCAGTTAAGGCATGATATGGCAAGTTGTCCCCGTAGGTGCTGTGGAACAATACCCCTTCACATGCCCTCCTCGGGAAATACATCCATAGTCACATTGTCCTCGCATCTTCACTTCTCTTGACCCCCCTTGAATGTCTCTTTCGTGGATCATGCCCCTCTTCACTTATCACCATTGATATGGAGTCGGAATCGTGATCCGTATGCCTAGGTACTCCGTCCAGTAAGGTACCATCGCACCCGTCTTGCTATAGCAAGCAAATTGAAGAACTGAACCGATGTCGCTACTGTTTGGGCTACTTCCAATTCAAACACCTGACAATTCCTTCTGATCGACTAGAGGGGCCCATTGTAATGCCAATTAGCTCGTCTCTGGTCACTGACAAACTCCTTGACAGGAATATTTCTCCCGATTCAAACCCGTCATACAATAAAATCTTGAAACAGCTGTTGAACGTGCGTCTTATGAAATTGTAACTTGTAAGATTAGGATATGAATACTCTACACCTAGTGACGTGCAGTGTCAACTGCCTCGCCTCGGTAGACAACTAGCTCAAAACTACCGAGTATTCCGGGACTCCGAACCTCGTTAATCACTCCGCTAAGTCGCCTTGGGATGAAGGAAGTCATCGTGTTCGGTTGCATATTGTGGCTTCAGGAAAGCCCTCTATGGATAGGGGCTAGGGTTTGTCTACTGTGGGTCGATCGGCTATACATAGTGTAAATTTCATGTCAATTTTAGGGATGATTACTCCGTACTCCGTATGTAAGAAGAGGATTGATCCACTGGGTCCCCTGCTGAATTCCGATCTTCGGTTCTTTGGGCTGTGGTACTACTGATTCGATCCAGTGGACAAGGTTCATAGATACTATCCATCCAATGGATGGATGTATATTACATGCAATTGATAGATCCTACTGGGATATGTATATCCATGGATAGATCATAGCTCTGACACATACACCTCACAGGACATGGCCTTTAAATACGGAGTATTATACCCGCCTTTAGACTAGTACTCCGTAATGTCTCTGCAGATAGGAATGGCCTGGAAAATATTCGGATACGAACGGATTGACCACGCGCTCATTGGCGAGAGGAGTGGATCTATCATCATGTCCGGTTAGTTGTACGGAGTACGCCGTACAGAGCAGATATTTCTCAAATGGCAACTAACTGTGAGAAGGCTAGACTCCGTGGAGGACTACCAGTTTTAGAAAAACCAGTCAAGCCCGGAAACTCACAATCCGAGTCAGAGACTGCGAGGCCATCCGACAAAATCAACGCAGTGGGCCAACTGAACCCACTCTCGTAAACTTCACTATTATGGGTAGAATTCAACCGAACTCGACAACACAGATCCCAGCCACTATCTTATTCCTATGACACGCTGCTAGAAGACATCTCGCACTGCTCAATTATTTACGTCGTTACCTCGAAATCACATCATGATACAAATACAGTCTTAGTGAGGAAATTGGTGGCTATCCGGGTCCTCCGAAACCTCCCTCGAATGCACGTGGGATGATTTCCACCTCCACGTCTGGGGTATCGGATCTCATATGTGTTCTAAGTCCTTCATGACTATGTATAACCAGCCCCATATCCTTGGTGGTACTGATAGAGAACCGGTCTCTCGAGCTACGGTTGTGTGGTGTAGATCCATGTAGATCCATAAGCAATCAGAGCTTTCACTATCACCCAATATCGATTCAAGCATTCCAGATTCAGTCTTATCCCGTCCAGGAATAAACAAGGAAAGTCAAGGCCCTTGTTTTGAACACCCAATTGAGCACTGCATCTCGTATGCGAGACATTTGGTTCTTACACGAAACGAGCTTCAAGGGGCTATTAATCCTTAATAGACCCACATACCATAACTAATCTTCGTCATAAGGGGAGGGGAATAAGGATCGACAGGCACAATGTCTCGTTGCCTGATTTCCAACGACAGAATCACTTTCTCTTCTACAACTGCTTGATCAGAGAGATGTGGCTGGTATCCAACTTCACCGGCCCGTCCTCTCTTACACATTCGCTCTAACAAGACTATGATCATTGCTCCAACACACTCTCTTTAGCTATCTGCACCATGCTGCGCATTATAATGTCGCCGCCTTCCTGGGTCTATCCGACCGTAGCCGCGTCCACTTGGCTAGGTGAGGATCCCAACTTTCCACGATCGCTGTGTACAATGATCTAACACTGGATTTAGCCATGCTGCTGGCTATGCTTGGCCATTGGACTATGATCGGTGAACCTCGATATGGCTTAATGAAACCTGGCCAAAATATACCGTGAGCACTTCTCCAGTCCCCCACGTTCATCGCCATTGCTATATCCAAGATCCAACTAACAGCCTCCAACAGATTCATTTCAGATATTGGAGCCCAGGAATTGAAGCCATTGTTCATGATCGGCTGTATCACGACTGTGCTGCTTGTCAACCTCTCTTTTTATCAACTCATCCAAAACAAGGGATATATCAACAAATTGTGTACGCACGGTTCATTCTTTTTCACCGTCGTCGGGAGCATCGGCTTGGTCATGCTCTCAGTCTTGGATAACCTCGCCCACCATTTCGTGCATGATGTCTGCGTGACAATATTCATGTAAGCCATCCGCCAAGATCAATATATGCATGAGTTCTAGTTACTGACAGTCTCAGCGTGGGGTACCTAGTCAGTGCAGCGTTGATGTGTCTAGACTACATCTATCTAGGTATTGCACACGCGCTGCGCGAACCTATGCTTATGACCAGCTTCGTCATCAAAGCCTCGTTCATTGTCGTTGAACTTGCTCTTATCATTGTCTTCCGGATCACGGAATACACACACTACAACCAGAACAACATGGCTGCGACTCTTGAGTGGGGTGAGTGTGTTCGTATGATCTTGACTCGTCCGTTGCCGTGCTAATTTGTTTCATAGTCATTGCGTTCGTTTTCACCGGATACATTCTCTCGTTGATCGTCGACTTGATGCCATCGGCCCAAAGAAATCTTCGTGGTCCAAAGGGGTACCAGCCACTTGAGATGAGTATGGGCTTGTCGCCTTAGCCCGTGGCTCGATTGAGGTTCTCTTTTCCATTTTTAGCGTTGGTTCGGTTAGCGACCCTTTTCCAAAAATTGTAAATATATACTCTTCTGCCCTCGAGACACGAATACCAAGACTTTGAACAATTCCTACATTATGGCAAGTCTCAGATGATGGCATACCTAATTGATGTTCTGAGAGCTTACGAAGTCCATCGATACTGAGTTTCTGATTGTCGCCGCAAGTCTTGGTGGGAGGAAGATGTCTAATGGCTTTGTGAGCAATCAATTCAAATCTAGGGGTTTATAAAATGGCATGCACAAGCAATTTGCGGCGATCTTCAATCAATTGGTTTTTTCTTTTGACACTATAGCCGTGCTGACATATATATCGAGGTTTCTGACAGATAAGGGATATTATAGCTGTGTTGAATATCGTCTATGATCTCCTAGCTCATACCTTTAGGGTGCAGCTTTTCATGCGCAGCTCAGCGCTAAAACCATGCTCCCTCCTTATACAAGCGCCAAACTACTGAAGACTGTTTAGGCCTTCATGCCTAAGGCCGGGTGTAACCGAAGACGGTACTGGTCACATGATCCATACACTGTAACGTACAGAAATGACGTCGCCGCTTCTGCACGGTCTCGGGGGGTTTATGTGGTTCTAAAGGCGCTCACTCAGATTGTTGCCTATCTTCCTTCTGACCTAGGCTCATAATATGCCTCAAGATCCATTGACTGGATATGTCACAATTGTTCCTACCTGACCAAGCGTGCAGGAGGATCGAAGGAAGGCCGGTACTCCCTTCGCATCTCGAGCTAAGGAGCGGTGACCACCTGGTTTAGGGTCAAATGAACGACTGTTATATCCGTTCTTGTTCCCCTGGATATTAAACCTGACCCGGACACCAGCCATTATGCAGGCTACTGCTCCTAGTTTACCCCCGGTCGATCGCACCAACTCCGCCGCATCGGAGGCCGCCTCCCACGCCAATGGAAACGAACGCCCCCCGCAGCATGGTCACCAGCGACTTGTGTTTACCGATATGGTTGCCTTCCGATATCTCGAAGAAGACCCGTCAACTGATGTGCTTCACCGACGTGAAACGCTGCAAGGATATGAGATTTACGTTGTCGAACAATGGGCCTGCTCTCGGGTGCACCCGACCTTCATCATCGCGACCTATACCGGCGACCCTTCGCATACCGTGATTGTGGGGGTGTTGAGTGTTCCGACCAACGAGGCTACTTGGTCACCACGCTTGCGGATGTACTTCGACGCCATGAAGCAATGCCACGCCAAAAAGAAAGAAACACCATTGGGGACGGTCATGGTTACAGACATGACAACATTCCCTTCTGCATTGAGTCTGATCCCTATACCCGAAGGGGATATCAGGAAACACCGAGACGACTTTATCGTCAATGAGAACCTGAAAAGACTGGGATGCGCAGGTCGTGCGGGCTTGAAGCTTCAATTTCCATCAGCAGCGACCAAAGCGAAGTTCCATCAGCTCTACCGAACGAGCGAAACCGTTCACTTATACCTCGCGGTCGTAGAACTGGTCAAACAATGCCAAATTGCCCTGATGGTGTTTGACAAGCTAGCCCCGGAATACGTGGACGGGCTGCTGTGCGATGTGACCGAGGCGGCTATTAGTGATTGGTGGACAGATATTGGAACGGACTTGTACAACATTGAGCCAAGCGACAGCAGTCTGGGACCGACGAGCGTGGCTGCATTGTTGGGTACTTTGCTCGGAGCTCGAAATCGATTACACGCCTACGGTGCCCCAGTGGGGAAAGATGCATTCGATTTCCATAACCTGAAAAGAGGAATTGGCGGATTTCAAAAATCTCAAAAAATGAGGCGGACGCGACGACTGGACCGGCTTACATTGGACCGGTTACACCGCGTCACGGCCAAGGCTGCCAACGCAGAAGGGTGGACCGATGCCGTCAAGTCAACCATGGCGGAGCTCAGCGGGCAGGGTGGTGAGATGGTCATGGGCATGGTCCGTGGACGCGATAAAGGGGGAATTGCCGATATCGAGACACTGGATCTCGATACTTTTGTACAGTGCTGCAACGGCGAGAGAGCAAAATACCTATGGCTGGGTAAATCGCGCAAAAGTGGGTTCGAAGATGGGTTCAACCATGGCAGTGGATCGAATATGATGTTCACAAGCGATGAACAAGGCGGGTATGTTTGGACCAGCCGCAGGAAGCATTCGACAGAAGACATGCATGCTGAGCGAGTAGGCTCGGGCCTGGATCGCTCTTCAAAGCTGCCAGAATCGACCGCTGACGACAAAGATCATCGTAAGAAGGGCGTCAGCGGACGAGTTTCAGATGCACGGGCAGGTCTAGGCCGTTTTAAAGACGCAGTCGGACTCCAGGGCCTTCGCCACCATCACCACAATTCTCGAGACAGCGCTGAGCTGACATACGATGCTGCCTACCGCCCGTCGATTGACAGTGACAATGAGACCCAGCGTACGAAAACGCGGTCTGACCCAGGGCTTCGGTCTGATACGAGGATATCCAACGAAATCGAAGATACCATCGAGGAGGAGGAAGAGAAACCTCACCTCTCCCCTACCCTCAATGCCGAAACCAAAACCCCCGAAATACATATCGAGTCCGCACCTGAATATGAGCCAGGAACAGAGACTCGTTACGACCAATTTGAACCCCAGCAGCCTCCGATTATCGAGGAAGAGTCAGATATAGAGCGCGTCATATCTAGATCGACCGCAGCATCATCGGATCGCGAGCGTGACCGTGATGATTTCATCAGCGGGCTGGCTATCATGGCCCTACGGCGGCCCCAGAGTCACGAAGAACTTCACAGCGTTGAAAGTGAGTTCGAACGACGAGACAATATCTGCGCCCGCCATCTGTCATTCAGTACCGTTGAAGAAGTTGTACTCAAATGGGAGCCGCCAGGCGGGAAACCAACGGTCAAAGAGACCGATGACTTGGAGGAGGCCATTGCACAAGAAGATATGCTTGGCTCTGAAGGCCGCATATTCAGCTCACGGATTCTAGAGTTGAGTCGGCATACTGTGCCTTGGGTTGAGCGGCAAGTGGATTCCGTAGACGGTGTCAATCAAATCCTCTATGAACGACACGAAGAGCTCAACTCGGTGTACCTGGAACGCTTTGCAGACTATCAAAGATTGCGCGAGCGGTCTAGTGATCTCCTTATGGATGAAAGCCATCACCTTTCCGATGGCGTAAAACGCGTTGAGTTGCTGGGCGCCAAACTGGACTACGAACTACACGTCCTCGAGTCGAAAGTCGAAGACATGGAAGCCGGCCTGAGCGACTTCGACCGCCACATTGTAAATGTTGAGACAAGAATCAAAGCCCTGGTGAAAGGCGAGGAACAGCACGACACTTCTTGGAAGGCATGGATCGGGCGATTCATGGGCTTCTCGAGTTAACGACACTTGTATGATATTTCCTTTTTTGCATTCTCTGTTTTCCCTTTTCCACCATATTGTACATATTTAGATAGACCGGCGACCGTGCCTTCCATCCGTGATGGTAATAAACGTGAACCATCATTCAAAACCAGCCCAGTTTGATCAGGCCGAACCAGTCATATAGCCTTACACAGAAACATAGACCACCGAGCTCTCCAGCTTCGAGGCTACCAGAGCTCCTTTCCCCATGAAATTCGTTGTAAACACGTTTACATGCCGAGACCCATGCCGCCACCCTGCTTGTTGGCGTTGGCCTCACCCTGCATCTTCTCGCTGACCTTGATGTTGACATCGAAGAACTTGGACACGCAGCGGTCCAGACAGACGGACTCGCCCTTGTTCAGGTCACCTTCGCGGTAATCGGCGGGAACGCACTTCTTGGTGCAGGACTCGGTCAAGCTGTGATTGGTGGCACATGTCAGAACAGATTCGGGATAGGTTCTCGTCTCGGGATGGGTTTGGAACAGGACTCCGCAGTCCTTTGCCTCCGCATCGAGTAGTAGCGCTGGTAGATTGTAGAGCTTCAACTTACCGGTTGAACATGTCTGAGATCATCTCGACTTCAGTCTCGGCGGCAGCGATCTTCTCTGCCGAGGACATCTTGGGGGCACCGCCGAAGAGGAAAGACATTTTGTATGTGTGGTAGATTTGAAACGGAGATGGCAATTGATGGTAGTTAGGTGGAGTAGCACTTGAGAGTACAGCGTATGTATTCGGAGTCCGAGGACGGGAGGTCGGAGAAGCTTGGGCCACCCGCGTGGAAAAACTCGGTTCTGCCGGTTTTCTTTTTCTTTTCTTCTTCTTCTCTCAACGATGTGAGCCAATTTGCTATGCATTCAATTCGCCCCAGATGGGCTGTATCTGGCTTTGGCCTGCGGAACAGGTAAGACTTGCATTCACCGTTACTGTTGATTGTTGCGTTTTCTTTTTTTTTTTTCTGTATTTCCCATCTCTCCCCTTATATGATGATTTATCCCCGCATTAGAACCGCTACAGTGATGTCCTTTTGGGCACTGAACGTACTGGATTTTATCTGACAAAGCTCAATGCTTAATTTTTGGATCAATTGTGTCTTTTTTTTTTTGACTTGACCATTGCTAACCCGAAATTTTCAGTATAGGATTGCGACTCGCTAGCAAAACCCGTGTTCAGACTCCCTTTACCTCCCGACTAACCACACAGCCAATTCGAAAGAGTAGCTCTGCAGCATCCCCAAAGAAGGCCTTCGAGGAGCGCGTGCAGCAGATCAAAGATGCTCGCGCAGACCCGTATCCTCGCTTGGCAGTGGACAAACGCACAGTGACCTGCGCTGAGTTCCGCTCTCGCTACGCGGAGCTTGCCAACAATGATTCAGTAGAAGACACAGTCATCGTCTCTGGTAGGTTCTGCTGTCTGGCCTTTGCAATGCCCATGTACTTAGAATAGTAGGAAGAATCCGTACCTATAGACTCGCGGGAAGCAAATTGATCTTCTTCGATATCGTGCAAGACGGCCATAAGATTCAGGTGATGTGCAACAAGCGTCGTCTGGAAAATATCTCCCCCGAGGAATTCAAGAAGTTCTATCGTCTTCTGCGTCGCGGTGACGCTCTCTGTATGTCTTCGTCCGGCTTGACTCAAGTTGTCGCCCGCTAAATGGTGTTTCAGCTGTAACCGGTAGACCGCACCGCACTGGACGAGGCGAGCTCACGATCGATGTGAGTGAGTTGCCACAGCTGCTCTCGCCGTGTCTGCATGACATCCCCGTTCACGATACCGCGCACGAAACCTCCCCTTACCCTCGCCATGTCCAGTTCCTGGCTGATCCTGCCACGGCGGATATCATTCGAGCCCGCGCTGCTCTCATACAGTATCTGCGCCAGTTCTTCGTCGACCGGTCCTTCATGGAGGTCAGCACCCCGATCATTGGGGCTGTAGCGGGCGGCGCAATTGCTCGTCCGTTCTATACTTGTGCCACCGAGTTCTCGGACCGTCAGCTGTCGCTGAGAATCGCACCGGAGCTTTGGCTAAAGCGACTGGTGGTTGGTGGATTCGACAAGGTCTTTGAGATTGGACCTTCGTTCCGCAATGAGGGTGCGTTACATAGAAGAGAGAGAGAGAGTTGTGACTAGCAGAGCTGATGAAATACAGGACTGGACAAGACCCATAACCCAGAGTTCACGACCTGTGAATTCTACCACGCATATGCCAATCTCGAGGACCTAATGGCTATGACTGAAGACCTTCTCTCCGGCATGGCAACTCACATCCGCGCCTCAAACACAACAGGCACTCTGAATCCCACCACAGTCAGTTTTGCAACACCATTCCGTCGGATCGACTTCATCACCGGCATTGAAGAGGGGACTGGGCGTAAACTGCCTGACCTCGAATCCCCCGACGCTCTGGAGAAAGTTCGAGCCATCTTTACCGAACTTTCCATTCCAGAACCTACGAACCCAACCCTTCCTCGACTCCTCGACGAGCTCTGCAGCATCTACGTTGAATCGCAGTGCATTGACCCGACATTCATCATCAACCCGCCCGAATGCCTCTCCCCACTCTCTAAATCCTTCATCGACCCAACGACCAAGCAGCGCGTGGCCGCACGGGGAGAACTCTTCATTGAGGGCAAGGAAGTGGTGAATACATACGAAGAGGAGAACTCGCCATTTGAGCAGCGCCGCAAATTCGAGGACCAGCTGCGATTCGGCAAAGATGCTGGTGAACCGGGCGAGATTGACGAGAGCTACCTCGAAGCCTTGGAGTGGGGGCTCCCTTCCACCGGTGGATGGGGATGTGGCATTGACCGTCTCTGTATGCTGTTCACAGGGGCCAAGCGAATTGGCGACGTGTTGCCATTCGGGAATCTTAGGGCCGTGACCAAACGGGCTGGGCAGTCGGGTAGTGAGGTAGCTTGAAGTAGAATAATGGGGCGGCTTATACGGAGTACTCCGTACGGAGTACGCTATACCAAGAATCGCACGATGTGAAATACTACACTCCTATTGGACATGTTCTCTATATCCCTGTGTCGAGTAACATCGGTCAAATTTTAGTGCAAATAGGCGAATAGTGCCTTCGATATCCATAGCGCTGCCGCTAAGAAACCGGGCAGTGATAACGAAGCGGGGAAGTCGGTTTTGATTTCTTCATTTTCACACATCATGGATACCAACGCACCCGTGGCCCAGGCCGTTACTGTGAGCCTGCAGGAGCTAGTAGATGGTGAGTGTTCTCTAGGACCCAAAAAAAGTACCTTAGTGTGTATGTACTAAGTCCTGCAGGAACCGTATCGTTCGAGACTCTGACCGAAGCCTTTGGACCATCCTCCCTGGGAATTATCGTGGTCAAAGACCTGCCCTCGACCTTTACTGAACTGCGTGCACAAGTTTTATCCAATGCATCGTATCTAGCAGCCCTCCCAGACCCCGAACTGGGTACGTCTCCATTTACCCCAGACACATCCCCACATTGCTCCGACCCCCCATGCAGTCCGTAAAATTAGAGAAAAAAACACTAACATCCACCCAGAGTCCCTTACCAGTCCGGAATCCAAGTATCTGGTCGGCTGGTCCTGTGGCAAGGAAACACTGAAAACAGGCCGCTTCGATACCCTAAAGGGCTCGTACTATGTGAATTGCGCGTTCTATCAGGATGCCTCTCTGGAGAGCGCCCCGGCGGACGATTTCCCAGATCTGCCCCAGTATACAGCGCCAAATATCTGGCCCTCGTCCGCAAAGCTACCTGAATTCAGGGGCAGTGTGGAGTCGCTTTGTACGTTGATCATTGAGACCGCGGCACTCGTTGCCAAGGCATGTGACCGGTACGCAGAAGCCAATATCGAGGGATACAAGCCGGGCTATTTGCATCATGTGGTTACGACTAGCTTAACAACTAAAGCACGATTGCTGCATTATTTCCCCAATGAGGAGGAGGAGGAAAAGCCCGACGCCAGCGACGATGACTGGTGCGCCACGCATCTCGACCATGGCTGCCTGACGGGCTTGACATCGGCCATGTTCCTGGATGAGGCTGTAACCCCTCCTACGCTCGATGCTTCGGGATCTGCTTCTGCCCCTCTCCCTGAACTTCCCCGTTCCCCCGACCCTTCGGCGGGTCTGTACATCCGCTCGCGCACCGATGAAATCGTCAAAGTCAATATCCCCAGGGATTGTCTGGCGTTCCAGACCGGTGAGGCCCTGCAGCTTATTACGCGTGGTAAGTTCATGGCGGTGCCCCATTTCGTGAAGGGTGCCAAGGCTAGTCCTGGGCAAAGGATTGCGAGAAACACTCTTGCTGTCTTTACGCAGCCGAACTTGGCAGAGGAGGTTCGGCCGGGATTGAGCTTCGCGGAATTCGCAAGGGGGGTTGTGCAGAAGAATTATTGAGTAGTCCGTATATGATGTACGTTCTATATTTGAGTTAGCCTCTTTACTACCCTAAGTTGGAACCTTGAGTCTCATTCAGCTCATCCTGTTTCGTAAAAATCCATCTGATTGCCCCATCCAGAAGCCCCATGAAAGGGGAACCCACCTACACCAGACACCGAAATCCATAGTGACGCACTACACAAGTCAAAGCCCTCGGCTCCCGTAGCTGAATATCGGCAGTGACAGAGACTTCCAAGGCCGGCCAAGATGAATGATCCAATGACCATCGGCTTACCTGACTGCCCAGGAGACCGAGATGTGGGCCGAGATTCCACACGATAATTCTCCCCCTTGATCCTGTTAACAGGTGTTAACAGGCAGATCCAAGATCCACAGCCTGTAAGATCTCCGCATTTTCCCCCCGCGGATTTAAGCGCGGAATGAGATCTGCGTGGCGATCATCACTCGATGTATCATTCCGCTATTATGATGGTCTACGGACGTACGGAACTGTATATCGGCTCTAGCGGTGTCTCGCTTTTTTTTTTTGTTTTCGTATGGGATCATACGTTCGACTGACTCGGAATGCCATCATTGAGCCCAAGATGTTCTCATTTTTTTTTTTCGAAGGCCCCTCCCCCGCACTATTGGTCGCTGATCTTCCCCGGACAGGAGGAGTTTTGCTTTCCTTGTTGGCATCGTGGTATATAAAGCAGGCACAACTCGCATCTGATGTCTCCTGATCAGAATTCTCCGGGCTTGCGGGTGTGTTCCTTAATTTCCCTTTCTCTTCTCCTGAATCTTATTCTATATACGCCTTTATTTCCCTTTCTATACTTCCACACCGCATCCTCTGCCCATCATGGCCTACGAAGCTGAAGGGATCAGTGTCAAAGACACACAAAATTACTCCTCTTCATCTAACAATGATGACTACGAGACAGGCCACTTTGGGCCCTTGGCCCATGTTAATACAGCCTCAAGTCGCCATCCTGCCTTCGGTGGTGACATGCAACCCGGTCTGTACCGCGTGGAAAAGGACCGCAAGCTTGCCAATCCCGCTCCACTAGGCCTCTGCGCATTCGCCCTGACCACCTTCGTACTGGGATGTATCAATATGAATGTCAAAGGCATCACAGCGCCTAACATGATTGTCGGACCTGCCTTGGCTTATGGTGGTTTGGTACAGCTTCTGGCTGGCATGTGGTATGTTTTGACCGGCAAAGTTTATACTATTCTCTATACTAACTAAGAGATTAGGGAAATGGCAGTTGGTAACACCTTCGGTGCTACTGTACTATCCTCCTACGGTGCATTCTGGATCTCGCTAGCAATCACATTCATCCCTGGCGGGTTCAATATCATCGGATCCCTGGAAGAAGCAGATAACGGATCCCATGCTATGTTCTACACTTCGTTTTCATTGTATCTCTTTGTATGTCGATCCCTCTCACCGATCTGAACGAACGCTAACACCAATTCTTAGGCCTGGTTTATCTTCACCACGCTGGTCACCCTGCTCACTCTCAAATCCACCGTGGCATTTTTCTCCCTGTTCTTCTTCGTCGACATCGCTCTTCTCTTGCTCTCCCTGGGACATTATCTCAATGTCGACGGTGTGCCAAATGAAAAGATCGTCAAGGCGGGCGGTCTCTTTGCTTTGCTGGGTGCTTTCTTGGCTTGGTATAATGCCTTTGCTGGTATTGCCGATAGCAGTAACAGCTTCTTCTTGCCGCCTGTTGTTCACTTCCCCTGGTCGGAGAAGGGGCGCAAGGCTAGACGTGAGTCCGCTGAAGAGGCTGCGGTTTAAGGGGGGCTTGGCCTTGACGCCGAGGTTTGGTTTCTTCTCTTGGATAGAGCTAGATATAGAGACATATACATGGAATGAATAAAACCATAGAGCCATGGGATTTTTATAATCCGACCTACTGATTTTTGCTTCTCATTTGCTAGGGTCTAAAATGTTGTGCAGATATCTTTCTTAAGCCGAAGTTTAAAATAAGAAGCATATTCCTAGTCTACACAATAAGACAACGCCACCAAAACATATTAGAGGTGGCGGCCTTTGCCTGGTCTTAATCTAACGTTACCAGGCATTGATGTCCCCTGAGCTTCAATAATTGGACATTATTCCCAACCTTGGTTACCAATTGACTCTGTGATGGTCCCTCTCAACGAAAGCAATACTGCCCCAACTTCATTGCAGTATTTCTAGACTGATGGCTTGGTACCCAATTTGGATTTCCATCCCGTGTACCCGTCTCATATGGTACACTGTAATCAGAGCGCTTTTGGTAAGCCCGGCCATATAATTCGGTGCGATGCATTGAGCTATCGTGCCACGACCCCTAGTTCTAGGCTGAGAAAATCCACAACTTGGGTGAGTTGTTGGAGCCATTCAAACCGGAAGGCCGCCTTTGGGTTGGCGAGAGTCCTGCCTGGGATGTACTTTGGTGTGAAACAAATCACTCGAGACTCTTTGTCTTCGAGGACAACACGGTCAAATGATACGATATTGGGATGAGGCGGTAGATTTTTAAGAATATTAAGCCCATCCCAGGCCACCTGTAGTTTTAGAGACCTATTTAACACGATCATGTTGTCCTAAAGCACAGGAACCGTAGTGATCATGGGGAGGTCCATGCCTTAGCGCCAGGCTATATTCTACGTGAGATCACGCCGCTGCTAGTACGTCGAGTGGAAGACTGTGGCTTTTACCCAGAGAATATCATTACTAATACATATATACCTAAATGCATAAACACACATCCACACATCTTAGAGCTACATTTCCATTATCTGACAGGCATAGATTGCAGTGTTCAGCCCTCGCACTTCCACTAGGTCCATTCCCGAGCTAGGGAGTTACCGTCATAGTTTGGCCGCAAGCATCACCAAGTCAGTGCCGCGTCAGGTTGCACAGCATCGGTATTCTTTTGCGTGAAATCTTAGAGCTTCGAAGCGCGAATGGTAAGGGAGACTCCATCAAAATCAGCCTCTAGAACACGGGCATGGCGAGGGCCATCAGAGATACAACCAGCATCTATCATAGCAAGATCAGTAAGTCAGTTTCAATTCAGTAGGAGAAGTCTTACCGGAGCAAAAATATGAAGACGCAGCGATTTCGTTCTCAGACGGGCAGCCATGATATCGGTGATAGTCATGATTTCTCCGCGAAGCAGTCGATCATCCCCGATTGCCTCACTTTCCAGAATGGCCTTGCAGTGTGGATATGGCTCAAATTCCAGCATCTTGTCTTCCTTCTCCGTCTGTGGCAGAGGTAGTTCTTCATGGTATGATTGAAAGAAGCGTGGACGATGTTCGGAATCTCCTTCAACGGACAAAGGGAAGTGGCAAATACCGGGCGTCTTTAGGTCAGAGGATTCAACATGCTGACGCGGGGTTTGCTTTATCTGGTGCTCAATACTAGCCAACGTATGGCGACGAGTAGTTCTCTCTAGCGCCATAGCTTCATCCATCTGAAAATTCGACAATAATAGATGATATGGGAAGCAGCTTCGATTATAAGCCAAAAGAGACGAGAAGGAGGACAAGGGTTCGCGATGTGAGCATCATGGATGTCAAGATGGGAAGGCGATTCTCGCCCATTGAAGTTGCATCATTCGGTCCTGTTGAGGTCTACTCGATCACGAAGCGGTAAGGAGTGAACACTCTTCTTGCGTGACATCGCATCCTACATTTAATAGACATGCAATGTCAAACTAAGAAAGATAGTAAAAATGAATTTCATTCCTGTCTCCTGACAACCTAAGTACATGTTCATATCGAAGATAGAAGCATGCCCCCGTAACGCCCATGGGTATCTTGAATATGCCGCTAAAAGATAAAACAAACCGGCACATCAAATGAACCTATGCAAATGTAGGATCATCACTATCACTCGAAGCAGCACCCAAAAGACCTAGTCCAGAGAGACCGGCCACTTGGTCATCAGTCACACCACCGCCATCATCAAAGGAGCTTTCACCTTCATCCTCAGGCGCACTGCCAATAGCAGAGCTGACCATCTTGCTCGTCTGTGCCACCTGCGAAAGTCCACTCTTTGGCCGACCCCTCGGCCTGCCACTTGGAGCAGACGATGAAGACTTCAATGGCCGCCCGCCACTACCAGGGATCTGCGCCTGGCGCCGTAGAGCATGGCTTACCTCGCCGTGCGACATTTTGATAATTGCTTGCCATTTGCGCGGGCTGCCGCGTTGAGCAGCTGTAAGGCCGCATTCCACACCGTTGATCTCAGTTAATCCTAGTGTCTCCACCCGGCAGTCGCCCCAGAACCATGTGTTGCCTTCTGACATACGGTTGTCAACCTGGGAAGAGTAGTTGCGGCCTTCGAGCACACCGGGAAGATCGTAGCCGAGGGTGTGTGTGCCGAACATGAGTTCTGCCGCGAGGGGTTCGTAGCACCGGCCGAGGATCAGTTGCGGGGTGATGTTGCAGTTTCGTCCCTTGGCCATGCGGTACCAGGGGCCGTAGTCGCTCATACTGACTTGTCGGAATGTACTGGTTGCTTCTTCGGCGTTGAGTGGCACAGGGTCTGGGATGTCTTCCTCTGGCATGGACCGGGGATGTGGGAATGTCTTGGACTCGCCCACGCGTTTGGGATCTGTAGTGAACACCTGGCCGGAGATCAACACTGTGTAGTGGGCTGCGAGCTGCTCCTCATCATCATCGACACAGCCCATCAAGCAGAGTGAAATTTTTTCAATGACCATCACGTCTGTCACTTTTCCAGCCACGCCGGACTTGAGCTGGTTGTATTGGTATCCCTCGGGCTTCAGGCGAACGGTATCGGATACGGCGATGAGTTCGCTGCCAATGAAGATTCCCTTGCAGTGGATCCTGGCATTAGGGTATTTGCCAACTATGTGGTACTTGTGGACCATGCTCCAGGATGACATGACAGTCATCGCGTTCTCAATGGATGGATGCATATCTTCCCGGTCTTGACCATCGAGATAGACTTGCCATGTGTTGAATGGCCTGATGTTGCGCAAGGGCACATAGGCGTATTGCAAGGATAAAGATTTGTCATCGCCCAGGGGATCTGGCAGAGTCTCCACACGGAATCCAGAGTAACTCAGTCCTCGTGGACTGTCCGGAGTCTCGACAATATCCACCTTATGCACATCGTCTTCGGGGGTTTGGGTGATCACGCCGGCGCGCCAATCTGGCACGCCATGCCATTTGTTATCATTGCCGAAAATCTCAATAAAGCCAGTCTTTGGATTGCGCATCAAGCAGCCGTCTTCGAGGCCCTGCCAAATCCAGAGAACTAGTTCACCACGACGAGGGACGAAGGCAGGGTCCATGACCAGCTTCGTGAAATAATCAGAGAGCCATTCATGAGTCAATACCCAGTCGAGATTGAAATGTTGTTCAATGTCTTCATCGAGTTCACCCTTGTCTTTTAATTTCATCACCAATATCCGCCAGTAATCTGGGCCGTCCGCATCAGTGGGTCGGCGCTCATTGTTGGCTCAAGACATGTTAGTAAATCATCAATCATAGGAGGATAGCAGTGCTTACTCGGCTGTGACATAGTTCCCTGCAAGACAGTTCCTTGTCTCGTCTTCATTACACCGCAGGGTTTGCATGGACACTGATCCAGCTGATTTTTGACCAAAGATAGGAAATGAGGGAAAAAAGTGGCCTGTGACTGGAAGTACTTGCCGCTGGGATGTCCGAACAGAAAAGGATCACGCTTCACACAAGATGGTTAGTTAAAGATCAGATATGCAACCCCGGAAAACCTCACAATGTCAGGATTGGTTCCACGAGGTCGGTCAAATAGACAGTATCCCTCAGGTAGCCTATCGATGATATGAACGACACCTTGGATAGGCTCTGTCAGCTCAAGAAATGCGAGATTAGGGTAGCATAACGCGTCAAACGACAAATATCAGCTGTAGAAGCAACATATGCCGGGACCCCACACGTATCAACACCAACATGTATGTACTAGTACACGTGTGCAGGCAATTGAAAGATCAATTCGAAAGATCTGAAATAGACTCACCTTCCTCGTAAGTGCCCATGTTTTTAAGCCAGTTGTCGGCGAGTAACTCGCGCCAGCGGTGGTCAACACGTTCAGCATAGTTGCCACCAGGCCAGGTACTCGGATCGCCATCACTAGGAAAGCTATCCATGGGAATTACATTGACATTGAGGTCGTCATCGCTGGAAGACATGTTTGTTTTTCCACCTGGGAAGCCCAGAGAGTTCAGATTGAATGATGAATACGCCAAGACACAGCAATCCTGGAGAATATCAGGTAGAGTACTTGAGAAAAAGAGCCTGTTCACAGTGAGTATTGCACAAGACTGTTAGTGGGAAGAGTGATAGAATGAACTATGGAGATATGTCCATGCATGTGGTTTTCTCTTTGGTGTTGGGCTTATCGATAAGAAACATACTGCCGCTTCAAATGGGCGGTGAACGGGGTGCTCTCGATCACCGCCTTTATGGCCAGATGTATACAACTACGATATAGACAAAGACTTAAACTCAGAGAACAGATCATGCATATCTTCAAAATCCCTTATGTTGACTGTGTAAATTCAAATTTCAGGTCCATCGACGGAGGGCTCAGAGTCAATGTGCTTTTCCTGATAAGGTGGTGGTGCAACTTCACTACCGTTGGCCCAGACCTTCTGGAGTTCTTCGTCGATCTCCTCACGACGCTGCTTCCACTCATCCACCTTATCCAGACGCTTCCGCAGTTCCTGTAGCTCCTTCTCAACGCCCAGTTTCTCCTTCTCAGTACCAATCCTCTCGAACTCCCAAACCTCGCCTTCGGCTCCCAGGCCAAGCGTCAGGTTGTAGGTATGGTACTTCTTCAAAGACGCCCGCGTCGAGATGGTGATGAGAGTGATACCTCGTTCCTTGGCGTTATCGTACAGCAAGCCCTCAACATCCGAAGATACAGCTGAAGTGCCTTCATCCATGAATGCATACCGTGGCTCATGGTAGAAGAGACGTGCCATACCCATACGCTGTTTCTCACCGCCACTAAGAACGTCTTTCCACTCCTTGCGAGCATCCCAGCCTCCTTCACGCTGTGGTAGATAACCAAGATGGGCATCGTCGAGGATTTTCTGCAGGGCTGCGTCTGTTTCGCCGGCTTCGCGCATGTCAACTTCCGTGTGCGGGTAGATAACTTGGTCACGTAAGGTGCCGACGCTGAGATACGGCCGCTGGGGTAGGAACATGATGCCGTCAAGGCCGAAGCCTCGAGGGCGGCTAACCAGCCCGCGGTAGACAGGCCACAGTCCGGCTACGATACGCGGGATTGCAGATTTGCCCACACCGTTTGGTCCTGAAATGAGAAGATGATCACCTGAGTGGACGATGAATGAAAGGGACTCGATGAGCTCATCGCCGCCCATTGGGTAAAGAGACGGTGCGACGATTGGGACCTGTTCTAGGCGAACTCCGTCAAAGCCATTGTGGGTGGTACCCTGTGCATCCGCAAGAGAGTAGAGTTCGGGGTGCGAGCCCCGGGGGTGTAATAGGCATCAGCGTGAACACGGTGTAGAGTGGCGATGAGACTGTAGACACGGGACGTGTAGCCAGCGAGCTCCGAGATATCCTTGATGCTGTACATCATTCGACCCCCAGCATCAGCGAGGGAAAGCATGAGACGTTTATTCGTGATAAATTCCTTCATGCGGCCACGCTCGCGACTCATTCCCTCGGGTGCATCAGCCAGCTCCATTGCGCCGCCCATACCACCCCATGCAGGAAGGAAGATGGGCAGGGAAGTCACCAAATAACCAAATGCAGACCAAGAGTACTTTAGGATCATATCCTCGAGCATGTTGTAGCGGATTTTGAGACTGTAGATGCCCTCCATCCATCGCTGTAGGTCCTTGAAGCTCCTGACTAGGAACACACGCTCGATATCAGCCCCACCGTAGAACGAGATTTCTTCGGCGTTGGCTAGAAGTCGGGAATGCAAACCACGGAAATCTCCTTCCTTCTTGCCCTCTACTGCCTTAAGCTTCCCGAATGGCGGTGACAATTTCCGCAGTACCACAGCTGTACTGAAGTACCCGGCCAAAATGCCACTCAGAGCAAGCGGACCGAGAGAACGGTAAAGTTGATAGTTGAATACGAAAAGGTCCACCAATGGCTTTCCCATGGAGGAGTACAGTGATGCCGCAGCCGTGCAGAACAGTGTGAGATCTTGCGTGATGAACTGGTCGGGACCTTGTCCAATTCCGCCGTCCAAGTTCATTAATTTATAGTAGTTATTATTGTCGGTTAGGTATAAGTCGTGGATGTACCTTGTTAATCGAGTGCGGAAGGCGATGGAAACCTTGGCTTGGAGGAATTTGATCATCGCATTGGTGTATGAAGCAAGTGTTCCGATTCCACACCATTTCAAGATACCCCAAAGGAAAGCCTTACCTTTCCCTGCCACCAGATCCCTCACGATTTCACCATCGAGTCGTGCAATTAACAGCGAGAGATAGGTTCTCATCAAGAGAAAGAGACCGTGGCTCATCAGCAATCCAGTCTCTTTGCTTCCCCATCTCGGCACCATGATACTGCCCAAACTCAAGAACTGATGGAGAAATGCCAGGTTCAAACCTGGTTTGGTTGTTGGTGGAGGGATTTGGCTGGCGGATCCATCGTCCTTGCCACGAGCCGATGCTGGGGGATTGAGGAATAGTCGTCGATGGGCATCAAATGTAGTCGGTTTGGTGGGATGGATCAAGACCTTGGAGGTTAGAGAGTCCTTATATGACACGAAGATAGTACGGGATCCATCTTTGCCCCGGATACCAGAGTTCCGGCGCAATAGACGGCGACCCTGGGCTCGCTCCTTGGCTCGCCCTCGGTACCACCTGTAACCTCCATAACCCGAACCGATGATGGAGAAAAGGAGCGCTATGGTTGCAATCAAACGTGTTGTCTTGGATGTGCGGCGAAACTTTGAGCGTACGAGATCGGAGTAATGTTGATAGAGCGCCAGGAGGGGATCCTCTGGGCGCCGAAGCGTCGACTGGACGGCCATCTTCAAATGGCCTGAAACCTCCGACTCACAAGGTAGCTGAAGGGAGGTCCCTACACTCGACCAAAGGCCATCAAGTTGGTTCTGATCGTGTTTCCAAGCATAGAGAATACATCTCAAAGGGAGGGAATGAAGTTGACACTAGATACCTGGGGGAGCGTTGCATCATTGCATGTGAACCTCGGATATGCGGAGAAGCAGCTCACGTGGGGAAGCTGACTGTACTCTTCTGCAGCTCGTCCGATGGCCCCCGGGGCGCTCGTAATGGGTCTCTGTTGGGCAGATGGGCAATCAACATGACTCTGGGATAATAATAGAAATGGGGAGAAACCCTGACCCTGACTCTAACCCTGGGGATGCGCTCATGGGTCGAATCTTTATTACGGAGTATTTTCTGATGCTTTGTTCCCCTTTATTATGTTGACTCTCCGCTATGAAACATTCCAACCACACAGAGACCTCGAACACCAGCTTGACCTAACCCAAATGAACCGCTAGGTACAATCCAGTTTGCGCCTTGGTTTGGGGACTGGACCCAATTTGAGTCACATCAAATGAAAGCAATCACGTTCTGAAGGCCATAGCTCCTCCTCCTGGCCATATGAGTGGCCATCAGAGCATAAAAGTGGCCATAAAAAAAGGGGCCATACATAATCATCACAGGAATATCCACAATCGATCCCCCCACAGGCCCTGATCGGGATCTTCTCGAACAGGATTCTGCTTTGTTTTGGTCCAGGCCCTATATTGTCAAGTAGGGGCAGTACGCTGGCAGGCAGGAATCCCATGCACGTTAGATATGTGAAAGCAGGATCGACCTCGTACAGAGTGCATCGACACTGCAGGACAACATACGGAGTAAAAGGGTATTAACCATAGCCGCCGAGGGCTTGGAGTAGCGTAGGAAAAAGGGCCCTGTGCCTTGCTAGCCTTCCTAGCCCTGTTTAGCGTCAAAAAAAATGTAAAAAGGGAATAAAACTCCCAACTCCCCCCATTTTCCTACACCGTAGTCTCACGTGACAGCCCCCCGACTCCTCTCGACTCCTCTCACCACCCCCCCGAAAATCCTCCTTAAACGGTAGATATCACATCCCCCTTTTGTTCGTCTAGCTTGTTGTTCTCAAACGTGCAATAGCGGGTGATAATTCCCGGGGCCAAAGGTGGTACGTGCGAACTTCCACCTGCTGATCCAGGAGGTGTGTGCTAACATCCTTTAGCCGCGCTCTCGACTTTGGAGAGTTTTGGCATTGACTCGGCCATTCCAAGTTGGGAACCGCTCTGTTTGATTATTTTTTTTTATGTTGATCTGTGTCGGCCAGCCTGACACAGCAGCCACCCCCGATGAGTGGAGAGCGAGATTCAGGTCCGGAGTCCACAGACAAAGCACCAATGAGCACTTCCGGTCTTCCGGGCTCAGCTAGTAAGTTGTTGCGCTTGTTGCTCCTCGCAACGTGCTGCATCCAGGGGGAAAAATAGTGCTAACGTCGTTCTCGTTCCTTCCGTAGATCCTGAGCTCGAACAGGGTAAAGGTGCCGATGCGACCGAGATCCAGGATGCAACTGGTGTCGCACCTTCCGACCCGGCGTCATCTTCGGCGGAGGGCGCGAACGCACCCAAGAAGCGTCATTTGTTGATCCCGATTCCGTCGCGACGATCCTCGAAATCCAACAAACCACAGGGGTCCGAGAAAACCGAGGAAGCAGCGCAAGATGAGCCCTCTCGAAGGGGTTCCAAAGTGAGCATCCTGCGATCAAAACGCGATCCAAGCCGGGCAAGCAGCCGCCGCTCGCGCCAGACTCAGGACGGGGCGAATGCAGAGGAGAGTAAAGAGGTGGCGACTGCACCCGACGCCAATTCCTCAAAGCCTCAGCAAAAGAAAGGTCCATCGAAACTGCTGGCTTTCTTGGGCTGTTGTTCCTCGTCGGAAGTGGATCCAGATGATGCAGCTCTGCCTGCAAAGAAAACGACCATGCGGCCGCCTGCAATCAATAGATTGCCTACTCCCGACAAGGCAGAGGCTCATGCTGGTGATTCAAGCACCATGGAGTCGAGGGAGCCGTATTTAGATGAGAAGGCAAATTCTACCGTTAGTGCAGATCAGCCTGGTGACGACGACCGCACTGTCAAGGCTAGTGCGGCTGGCCTGCAAGACGAGGGTCCAGCAGAAGTCACGAAAGCAGAGGCTTCTGGGCAGAAAGACAAACCTGAAAATGTTGCCCCGCTTACCCAAGCGGGACCTGCACCGGAGGTGAAGGCAGATGCAAAAAATCATGAATGGGAGGGTCAATCAAACTCAACCACCGATGACATTCCTTCTGCATCAACCTCGACCATGCCCGGAACCTTTGGCACTGACGGCACTGACGGCACCGACGCACAAGAAGAAGTCACATCTCAACAAGAAGTGGCACCAACCGTGGTGATGCCTCCACCACCGCCGCCACCCATGCCGCCTGCTCCCCCGGGTCCTCCTGCGCGAGGCTACTCTGAGGACGCAGCGCACCCGTTGCTCCCCCCAGTCTTGCCCCATCTACAGGGCCGAAAGTGCCTAGTTCTCGATCTTGATGAGACGCTAGTTCACAGTAGCTTTAAGGTAAGTTTCTGTCACTTGCGACACTCGCTGCACACATATCATTGTATCATTCCACTCACTTCATGTCTTGCAGGTTTTGGAGCGTGCCGACTTCACAATCCCAGTTGAAATTGAAGGACAATATCACAACATTTATGTGATCAAACGTCCTGGGGTCGATGCATTCATGAAGCGTGTTGGTGAGCTCTATGAAGTGGTGGTCTTCACTGCCTCAGTTTCCAAGGTTAGTTGGAAAGGTTCGAGCATCTGGCGATGGACGCATCCACTGACTCTAGTTTTAGTACGGCGATCCTTTGCTTGACCAACTGGATATTCACAATGTGGTCCACCACCGTCTGTTCCGCGAGAGTTGTTATAATCACCAGGGCAACTACGTCAAGGTGAGTTCTTATGCCCGCTTTAGTGACTGAGGCATACTAATAGTTATCTAGGATCTTTCCCAAGTCGGTCGCAACTTGAAGGAAACCATCATCATTGATAATTCCCCCACCTCCTATATCTTCCATCCTGAGCATGCGATTCCCATCAGTAGCTGGTTCTCTGACGCTCACGACAATGAGTTGCTCGATCTGATCCCTGTTCTTGAGGATCTTGCAGCGCCGCAGGTCCAAGACGTCAGCATGGTTTTGGACTGCACCCTATAAATGCCTCGATGGGAGCCTTCTTACGCCTGAGATATCCATTTTGAGCGAGTTGTTTTCTTTTCTACGCGAGAAAAGCCCTTTCCTTTTACTTTCAGCATTGCTGCCATTGATGGGCAGTCGCCCTTTTTCCTACTTCCTCTTTGATTCCCCTTCTTGACAACCTAATATGTCCCAGATGGAACTGGTATCCTTTTGGGTCAAGGCCTGTCTACTGCATCTGTTGTCGTTCCTGGATAGCCACATTGACCTGACCATCTTCGACCTTTTGCATTGCGATTTGTTTTTGTATCTCACTACGCTCCGAGCGAGCTCATTCCCCTTTTTTTTTTTTCTTTCCCTTGTGCTTTATCAACACCCCCTCATGTCTTGACTTTTCCTTATTTTTTCTCTTTTTTTTGTGTATTCTCCCCCCCCCCAACAAGTCCGCTTTTCATGCATTCTGCAGGCGTCCCTTGGTGATTATGTTCTCGCTGTATCCCCCCTTTGTTTCCCCCTTTCCCCTTTCTCCATTTCTGCCTTGCTACACGACGCTACTAGCTTGGGCTCAGCTAACCCGAGCATGCGTTCTACTGCGTTGTCTCTGCTGAGTCCTGCCAGGCAGTGTTATACATCTTCCTCATAATGAGCAGTGCCTAATAATTCCCCTTACACTGCCAAAGTTACTGGATTCTATCATGCAATAGACATGATCAGTCGTGGCTCTCGATGCTGTACATAGCCCCTGAGAAGACGCCACATCCAGAAACCAAAATGGCGGAGCAAGTTGTATTAGAGTAGAAATGAATTTTATCAGCCCATTGTCATCCAATGTGTAGTCCTCACATAGCCAATCAATCCAAAGGTGCCTCGGGCCATTCCGCATTGAGGCCGCATTAAGACAATGATGTAGTTCACCTCCAACTTCCCGAAACCCAAGGTTTCAGTTCCTGATTCTCAGTGCAACCCTTTGTCTCCGTGGTATTTTTTGATTTTGATTCTTCTTGGCCCTTTGATTCACATTCTCAGCGATCATCCTCCGCTCCGATAAAAAAAAAGCAGAAAGCTCCCCGCAATCGCGAGTCCCACCGCCCGCCCATCTCCAAACATCCCACCACATCCTCACACTGGCCGAAACCATGAAGAACAAGGAAGGTTGGGACGGAAAAATGAGAATGGAGCCCAAAGCTGTTATCACGAACCCAGAGGCGCTGGAGGATTCTGATTACTCGGATCCGGAGGCGCCCCCGGTCGAGGAGATTGAGGCCGATGAAGGTATGGTCGCAGGATGGTTGGTTGCTCAGCGCTGAGCAGTTGGTGAGCCGAAGACTAACAGTCTCTCAGATCTATTGGCAGACGAGGATGTCAATTCAGAGGTAGGTGAATAGCTGCGGAATCTCTGTTGCTCATTGACCGCACGCGACATGATTGCTGATTCTTATTCTATCGCAGGATATCGACCTCGTGCATTGCCGGATATCATCGATTTCTGCGCTTAAACTGGACCGCTTTCCCAAGCTACAGGTACATACCCTCGTCGACCCTTGAGCCTGCCTGTCCCTGTCAGCGGGGAGGACGCATGTGGCACCACTTCCCCCACAAGAGACACAGGCGCGCCGTGTTCCTGCGATTCAACTCGATTACTAATGCCATGGCTTCTATAGAGACTATGCATGCGTCAAAATCAAATATCGCGCATCAATTTTCCTCCCAATATCGCTGCCAGTTTGACCGAACTCGACCTTTACGATAACCTCATCTCTCACATCAAAGGCCTGGAGGAATTCCAAAACTTGACTAGCTTGGATCTGAGCTTCAACAAGATCAAGCACATCAAGAATATCTCCCATCTCAAGAAGTTGACGGAGATTTACTTTGTCCAGAACAAGATCGCTCGCATCGAGGGCTTGGAGGAATTAACTGCCATCAAGAACCTGGAGCTAGGTGCGAATAAGATTCGGGTTCGTATTATATCGTAATATCCGCGCATGAGGTCAAAAAATGGAAAGGCTAACAGAAGTCCCTCAGGAAATTGAAAACCTGGAAACCTTGACCGCGCTGGAGGAACTTTGGCTTGGGAAGAACAAGATTGTTGAGATGAAGGTGCGCAGTTCATCCCCAACCCGACCTCGACAATAAGAAAACTGACATCGTAACAGAATCTGGACGGTCTATCAAATCTGCGCATCATTTCCATCCAATCCAACCGCCTCACCAAGATCACTGGCCTCTCCGCTCTCCCAAACCTTGAAGAGCTCTACCTCTCTCATAACGCGATAACAGACCTTTCAGGACTGGAATCTAACGAGTCCCTGCGCGTGCTTGACTTCTCCAACAACCAGGTCTCTCACCTTGAACATCTCTCTTCACTCAAGAACCTCGAGGAGCTGTGGGGGTCTAATAACCAGCTTGCTAGCTTCGAGGAAGTCGAGCGCGAGCTCAAAGATAAGGAGAAATTGCAGACTGTCTACTTCGAGGGTAACCCGTTGCAGATGAATGGGCCAGCTGTGTACCGTAATAAGGTGCGCCTGGCGTTGCCGAATATCCAGCAAATTGACGCTAGTAAGTGTTCTCCCCTCTCCATTTTCCTCCCTACTTGTGGCTTGGGGCAGAGAGCTAATTCTATTCTCTACTCGCCAGCGTTCGTTCGGGTTTGAGGGCTTGAGGGTAATACCTTAATGTGTGTTTTATACTCTGTCTATTTGACTAATGGCTCTAACGTTTTCCGTTCAGTTATCGAATGCGAGCGGATTGATTCTCTACATAGAGTGTAAGGACTTATGAAATTGACGTCGAAAGCAACTACTTTCTAGGGTTGGGTGGCCACCTGTAAACTACGTTGTAGCTTGCGAATATCACGATCTGACCCCATCTTTTTTTTTAAATTCTTCTAGTGTTAGGCGTAACAGAGATCAGAAAGGATCCCGGGCCAGCAACGAGATATTTCCATGTATACTGTCTTCTTTCTGGCCATGTGTCCATGGTCAGTCGAAGACCTAAAAATGGATGACGACGCCCCTATGTATGTTGGTGCAGCTCATCCTATCTTTTCTCACTGATAGTTTCACCTTCTGATTGTATACGCGTCATCCCATCATCCTTTTTTGTCTGACTTTTTGTCTTACAGTAGATTTCGAAAACGGATTCCCCCGTGGAAACTCTCGCGTTGTTTCTCGGCCCGTACCCGAAACCACACTAATCCATATTAGGTTACTTTAGAAAACAACCCATGCTTCGCCGTATCTTATTAAAAACGTATCAGGCTTTCGTGTCTAATGAGTCATTGTAAATTACCGTATACAGCAATATTCGAATTCAGCTATATAGTTTTTACTGGACATAAGTTTCTACACCCTTCGCCCCACACCCCCATGATTATAGAATATTCTGCCAGCCACAAAAATGATAATTATCTTTACTGATATAGCATATAATAGATGTATGGGAATAAGGAATAAAGCCTTTGGTTCGTGAAAAAGCAGCTTTGCGTGCTATTTTACGGGGATTCTATTCATGGATACTTATGATGCTGACTTATTGTTACAACCCAACGTACGGAGTACGAATACGGTGCGCATATCTTATAGCACATATCGGGTATTTAGGTTGGTAACCTGACATGACGACCAGTTGGTCGTCATAGTGGCTCTTTTGGTAAACGCTCTACCTTACCATTACTTCCTACGTTTTGCACAGTGGTGTCAGGCCCACTTGCCTTAACAATATGACGACCAACTTCGGAGACCCTGGGTTCGAGACATGCAGATGTCGAATTCGAATCTACGGTCTTTGCAAGGAATATCATGGAGAGATCCAGATATACACTTGGGGGTCTATAACTTAAAATACACACACCGATATCTTATCAGCACGGTAATCATACCGTTTAAGCTGCCTGTGGATATTCTATGCTTTCCTTATGCCTCGGGGTCAAGGCATCAGAAAGAGGGGAGATAATGTTACAACCCAACGTACGGAGTACGAATACGGTGCGCATATCTTATAGCACATATCGGGTATTTAGGTTGGTAACCTGACATGACGACCAGTTGGTCGTCATAGTGGCTCTTTTGGTAAACGCTCTACCTTACCATTACTTCCTACGTTTTGCAGTGGTGTCAGGCCCACTTGCCTTAACACTTATGATGCTGTATTGGCGGTGAGCGGGATGGGTCTATAAGGGGTGTAAAAACTGATGTCCACTGACTGTACCTTCACACTCTTGAGACTTCGCTCCCGGAAAACAAATCTGATGATCGTGAGTCCTGATTGGGTAGTTGATGAAGGCCCCGCACTTCAGACCGCTTTTTAGACTGGTAGTTGTATTATCCTTTGTTTTGAAAAATACATTGATAAGCAGGATAAGAGGTAAATTGCTACACCGAAGAAGATAATTAAGCGAATTTTATATTACTGCGGATATCCTCAATAAGGATATGCCGCAGTCTAGCGCTCATAATAAACCTAAGTAGCGTGGGTGAGGACAATGAGAGGGTCCTTCGGTGTTACGACCCTCTGCTAGGAGAGTGCCTCATAGGCTGGATCCCGCCTGGTCCTGTGACCTAGAACCCGTGACCCAGCAGGGGTAGCATGACCCCCCGCTAGAGACCGCACTAGGGAGACTGAGTCCTACCGGGTCAGGTGACCTAGTCCCGTGACCCGCCAAAGGTCATCCATACAGAGACTACTAGGGGAACTTAGCTCTTTAGCGATTAGTTTACGAATATACTAGCACCCTACTATTCCTTCACTCTAGTTCTATATTACCTACTAGGACCCGCTAGTACGCCGGCCCTAACATTCTAATCGCTAAATCTTAATTAAACTAGACCGTTAGAATACGTAATGTCGACGACTTAACGCACGAGCGACCGCCTAAGGGGAGCCTTAGCCCCGATCGCGGAAACGAACGACGTCCCGGGACCCCTATAACCCCTACTAGAAGAGGTAGAGATATAGGGAGTCGACGATAACCCTTAGGGAGGAAACCCGCCGGATCTAACGACCCCGACCGAGGTAGATAAGGAGGCGGAACTCTAAGAGTTAGAGACCTTTAAAAGACGTCTAGCTTTAGTAAAGGAGAAAAATAGGATCCGCGCGGAGCTATAGGATAAAGAGGAAAACGTAGTAATCTTATAGGCGAGAATATAAGGATCTAGGATCTATTAGGGTTCACTAGGTAGTACTATTAGCTAAACTACTTACTAACTATCCGATACTACTTATATAAACTTAATTATATTATAAGGAAGTACTAGAGGCTACCTATCCTATTAGAAGGAAGTAAAGGAATTATATATACCTTATAATATAATAATATATAGAGCTAAGAGTTCGGGCGAATATAATCTCTTTAAGTCGAACTAAGAAGTTTTCTAGAATAGATACTCTAACTAGTTTACTAACGACGTACGTAAAATAAACTAAGTAACTAAGTTTTTAGCGTTAAAAGTTAATATAATATAGATAGAATACTATAGGAATAATCTAGATATAATATTTACCTAGTCGGTCTTCGAAATATAGGCGCTCGCTTAGGTTACTAACCTTATTAAGATATAGTAAGAAGCTAAATACGACTAATAGTAGATAATATAAGCTAAATATTAGGATATATACTAATATACCTTAAATCTTATTAGACTCTATAACCGCCTAAAGGATACGCTAACTAGATAGATAAGAATCGACTATTTAGAGATAGGTATCGTTAAGGAGGTATAAGATAAAGTAAGGAGGTTTATAGCCCCCGCTATAGATTAATAGGATAACTAGGTAGCCTTCTATAACTAAATTAAGAAAGTAATACTAGGTAGGATATTATATCTTAGAGAGGCTAAGAAGATAATACTAAGAAATACTATAGACTTATAAGGATCTAGTAGAAGATCCTTTAAGGGAAATAGCGTCTTCCCTATATAGTAAGCTACGACTACTACGGAGGGTAGAAAAGCTACTATAGAGTCTAAACGAGACTAGAGTAGAGATAGTAAATTCTATAACTTCTATAGTAAGCTAGGCTACTATATAAAGGACTACCGTAAGAAAGCTATAGTAAATACTATAGCCGCGGAAAAGTTAAAAAAATAGACGACCCTATACTATAGACTCCTATAGTATTAGGGATAGTTCTCTTCGGAGAACGTAAGGGAGTATACTAAGCACTTATCTATAACGTACTAATATTAGATATTAAGACTAGAGCCCTAATAGGGGTAGCTAAGACACTAATAGATAGTGGCGTAACCTAGAGCTTCGTAAGCTAGAAAGACGGGCGTAAGATCCCTTTATATAGAAGCTAAGAAGTATAGCTTAGCCTAATAGACCGGAATAGAACCTATAGAGTTATTAAAATAACCTATAAAGCCGTAGATATAACGATCTATAATATAATCCTAGGAATAGATTAGCTTAGACTAATAAATCCGGATATTAACTAGGTAACTAGTAAGTAGACGTATAGAAATATAGCCTTACTAGAGGTTAAAACCCTCCCGTTAAAAGACTTTAAGGAAGAAGTAAGACTATAAGATATACTCGGAGAGCTACGCTTAGACGTCGATAAGGTTACTAGGGAGTTTATAGTAATATTAGGGGTAATATAAAGCTTAGATAGGAACTCCTATCCGGTATAACCCCTAACTAAACTCCCGCTAGAATACTAAGATCTAGCTATCGTAGCGAGTAAAGAAGGTACTATAGCCCTTCTAACCTACGTAGAGTATAATTACGTAATTAAGCTAATACCGGGTAAGATACCCTCTTAGAGGCTAGTATATATACTATCCGCGAAAGAGTTAGAAGTCCTCCGCTAGTATATTAAGGAGAACCTCGAAAAAGGCTAGATCCGACACTTAAAGAGTTAATCGGGTATACCTATCCTCTTTATACCGAAGAAAGACGGTAAGCTTAGACTCTATATAGACTATAGAGGGTTAAACGCGATCACTATTAAGAACCGCTACTCTCTACTACTAATTAACGAGTCCCTAGTAAGATTATTAGGAGCCTAGATCTATACTAAACTAGATCTATAAGATACCTACTATAGGATCTATATAAAATAGGGAGATAAGTAGAAGATAGCGTTTAGATACCGCTACGGGTATTTTAAATATATAGTAATACTATTTAGACTCGCTAATACTCCCGCTACCTTCTAGGCGTACGTTAATAGAGCCTTAGTAAGACTTATTAACGTCTACCTAGTAGTGTATCTTAATAATATACTAATCTTCTCGAAGGACGAGCCACCGGACGCTATAAGTTATAATATCTTTATATAGAGACTTAAGGAGACTATCGGTAAAGGCGCTATCTACTAAAGAGATCTATAGGATATAATATACCTAGGCGCTATAATAACTATAGCACGCGTAGAGATCCCTACTAAGCCTACGGTGAATAGACTACCGAGTCGAAAGGAGGTACGCGAAGTAGCTAAAGGAGAAACCGTATATATCTACAAGCCGCTAGAAACTATAGTAGAACTTATACTTAAGATATAGGCGAAGAATAAGTTCTATAGGAATACGCTTAGAAGGGTACGGGAAACCGGCGACTTTAAATAACCCCCGAAGATATAATAGAGCGTAAAGAGCTAGGATAGACTACTAAGATATAATAACTACGTCTATATTCCCGAAGGCGAACCTATAATCTACTAAGAAATTATAAGGATCTACTACGACGATCTATAGGTAGGCTATTATATAAGGAAAAGAACGCTATAGGCTATTAGACGTAAATACTAATAGAAAACCCTTATTAAGGA